GTTAACATATTTCTCGTCAGCTTCGGGCCAAGAAAAGGCAAGCGCTTTTTTTAAACCGTTTGCAGTGTTGTTGCATCTTTGTGGCGTTAAAATAAAAGTGAAAGCCGGATTTTATTTTAATTTTCAAAAGTTTTATGCTTTTATTTGCATTGAATGTTTGATAAAAACTTTTATTTTTTTATTTAATAGATGAGAATATGGGTAATAAATGTAACGGCTTTAAAAGCTGTCTTCGAAATCGGAATCATTATTGATCATTTGAAGGGAAAATCAGCAGAATATTTGAAAATCAATGTGACAGTTTGCCAAGTTCATTCATCCAAAATCTTGAATACATATAGTTAAAGCCTTCGGGTCTAAGTTATGCAAATTATCCAGATTTGTAATCGATCAAGATCTGTCAACTCAGAATTCCTCACAATTACTTGCAGACTGTTTTGTCGCGCCATTTATTATTATTTGGTTGAGTGAGATCTAAAATGCGACAATTTGGCCTCACATGAACAGCCTAAGTCCAAAAATTAACGGTATGCATCAGAAAGTAAAAGAAAAAACCGGTTAAGAAGTTTGAAGCACATTTGAAGTCATTTCCCCAGTCATGATCTCTACGTATTGGGGGCAGTTACCTAAATTTCCTAGTGGTAATTTGTAAGCTTGTGTAATGAAAAGAACTGTGAAACAAATAAATTCATACAAACATCAACCAACACCGTTGAACACTATTACATTTTCCGTCAGTTTAGAGTATTTCCACGGATTAGCACTCACGAAATGCAATCTGATTATTACATCGCTAATAACTTGTCCGAATCCAGACTAAGGAAACATGTAAAAATCCTCATAACAACATTTTCATTGCGTTATGAAAAGTGTGGTTGTGTATGTGTTTGAGTGTGTGCTGTAGTTTTGTACAAGTATACCAAGATCGATGCGCTGCTTTTTTTTTGTGGCTAAAGCGCGGAGATGACATGGAACATGCATTAAGGCGACAGCGACACTCGAAATGCGGTAACTAATTAAAAATTAATTACTTTGCAATGCCAGCTAACACTTACGTGGTTGTTAGGGTTGTTGCAAGTAGGTGTGATCTTTGCGCTACACGCTCGTGGGATGGCTTAGCTGCGCTTTTTGTAAAATATGAATACACACTTGTAAAGTGACAAAAGTGACGGCTTAGCTGGTCGCAATTTTGTGTTATCGATTGTATGCTTATTAGCTTTGAAGAGTTGTTTGGCCAGGTTGTCGTCTACATGATGACAACCGCTACTTTTTAATATGGACTAATAAATAGGAAGTGCTTATTAGATTCTTAAGAAGTTGGAGTTTGATGTTTTCTTATTAGTTTTTGATACAAAGTAGTTCAAAAGAGAGAGAGACAGAATGAGGTTCTGAATTGTAGCTACAAAACTTCACGCATAGAAGTTGAATCCACAAGCTGTCCATAAATCCGTAGAGCCACATAAGTACCTGTGAATTTGTTGGTTGCATTTGTGCCACATGTTTCATCAACCTGTTGGTTCATTGGTGAGCCTGTCAATTGGAAAATTATATGTACTTTGCTAAAAATGATCCAGATGACTTGCATGCAATCTGGTCATTACTCATACGCTGTACACTTTTTTGCACTCCGTTCTCACACGAAAAAATATGTTTGTATGTAAGTGAATCAAAAGCATAGGTTTTGTGTTTTGGCGCTCTTCCCGGCTGATCAACATGTCGTTAGCTGTAGCTTTTGCCTGACTATCGTTTGCATTATTAATGATGTGATATACATGCTTAGGTAACTTCGCCATACCTTTGAATAGAACAACAACGAACGATGTTTGTATAGAAACAGGATATGGGCAAATCGAATTCACAGGTGGACAGAGTGCACGCAGGTGTACGCTGCTTCACTGCCCACCATTGTGTACTCATGGAATTTAAAAAGGTAATTGAAAATTTACCTTGTTTTGAACAACGCATTTTTATTTGCTCATTTTTAATATTTCCGCGTTGTATTTGAGATGGAGTCGTTGTGCCAAGTTGCAGCCGTTAATGGCATTGCTGCTAATCTGCATCTCTATTATGGATACGAAGAATTTTCTTTGCTACACAAAATACCTTCTTTTACTTTTTTTAAAGATATCTTGCAACAATTTGCTTACGAATATAGGAGTGTTATAGATATGACTGGACTCGGTATTATTTATATTATTAGTAAAAATTATGCAAAAATTAAAATGAATTTTAAGTATACCCACATGAGAGAATATCAGGTTGTTGTTGGTATAGTGGCAGCAAGTATTCCCAAAACAATATTTCGGAACGCTGCCGAAATGAGAGCCCTTTGGTTAGGTAAGGTTCGATGACTGAACCTCAAGATGGGGATCGATCATAAAAAACTCTTGCAACCGCTCTTATCTGATATCTGAAACTGTGAGCTCCCAAGTATGATCTCTTAAAGGCGAGACAATCAAGAGGAAGTATTGAGATGTTTCTACCTCGTCTTCTTCCATAAAGCTTCTACAGCTGGCATCCGGTAAGATTATCAACCTTACAGCGTGAGCCCCGATGGGACAATGACCTGTTGAAACCCCTACAACTAAGGAGATACTAGCCTTACTGTGAGCAAAGAGCTTACTGGATCTCTTGCAACCGACCTTGATGTAAAAGGATCTCGCAACAGCGTAAGAACCAAAGGTAGCCCAGCGCTGACTAAGCTCCTGCGAAGCCCCAATTCGTTCCCATTTTGCAGGCAGCGGGACTGGGGTTTGTCTTTTCTTGCTAGCCTGTCAGCTTTGGAGTTATCTGCATTAATCAACCATAATCCAAAAGAAAAGAGAATTTCCAAATGATCAGACAAATGTTCATTTAGTCAGAGTATGATAGCAACTTTCGCAACCATACACTTTCCGGCTATATCGACGCTTTTTGGAGAATGGCATTAAGTGCCATAATTTGTGTGGACCTTAGTGCACTACATAATGGGTCTGACTATAGTGCCGGAGAGCTACTGGACCAAAGTTTTTATCACTAATTAATCCGTTACGGCTTGCTAGGTGTGTATTATGTATCGTTATGTGTTGCATATGTTGTTAAATTTGATTTTGAACTTAGCGTATATAAATTGATGTCAGTTTTACAGCCACTGTATTCATGAGTTGTTAAAGTAAATGCTTTGTGTAGGCAACTCTGACTAAAAGTCATACTGTCAAAACAAACAAAATATTTACACAAATAAAGTGAAGAATTTGTTTGAAATTGGATAAATAAATATTTTTGCAGTTTGCTTTACAAAATACATTTAAAATGGGTAAACGGCAGCATCAAAAGGATAAAATGTAAGTAATTAGTTTGCCATCGAGTGAATTTAGCTTAAAATCCGTTTGACTATAGGTACTTAACGTACACGGAGTGGTCGGAACTTTATGGCGGCAAGAAAGTTGAGTCTGCTGAAAATGAACATATCAAATTCAAGCGCCTCCCCTTTGATCATTGTTGCATTACAATGGTACCTTTCGATACTCCCTACTGTGATGTTGAAGGCAATGTTTTCAGTTTGGAGGCGATACATGCATTTATCAAAACATTTAAGGTAAATCCCATTACTGGCAAATCACAAGATGCGAAAGTTTTGATAAAATTGAATTTCCACAAAAATGCCGAGGGTGAATATCATTGTCCAGCTCTATTCAAACCTTTTACAAAAAATTCACACATTGTTACACTTGCCACAACCGGCAATGTGTACTCATGGGAAGCTATCGAACAGCTGAATATTAAAACGAAAAATTGGAAAGATCTTATTGACGATTCACCTTTTCAACGCAAGGATATAATTACCATACAAGATCCGCATCACTTGGAAAAGTTTGACATCTCACGTTTTCATCATATACGAAAAAATATGCGTGTGCTCTCCGAGGAGGAACAATTGGAACGGAAAGATCCCACGAAACGTATAAAAACAATGAACTTGGAGACTAAAGAAACATTAGCGGAACTGGAGAAAGACTATCAACCACCGGAAGAGGCTCCAAGTACCTCTAAGCGTACCGCCGACAAATTTAATGCTGCTCATTATTCTACAGGAGCAGTGGCGGCAAGCTTCACATCCACTGCGATGGAGCCTGTGTATAATCACGAAGCTGCTATAATTGAAGATGATTTAGTTAAATATGAACGTGTGAAGAAAAAAGGTTATGTGCGATTGCAAACTAATTGTGGGCCACTGAATTTTGAATTGTATTGTGATGCTGTGCCTCGTGCTTGTGATAACTTCATGCGACATTGTAGTGACGGTTATTACAATAACACCAAATTTCATCGCTCAATACGAAATTTTATGGTTTGTTATAGTTGCCAACTTTTGCAAATGATTTTTGAATAACTTTGAGAATATTTTAGATACAAGGTGGTGATCCAACTGGAACTGGTACTGGCGGTACATCGATTTGGGGTAAAAAGTTCGATGACGAATTCAAACCCAATCTTTCTCACTCAGGTCGAGGTATGCTCTCAATGGCGAACTCTGGACCAAATACAAATGGATCACAGTTGTGAGTACTGACTCCTTTAATTTGCGAGACGAATTCTGTAACTATTGCATATTTTTCAGCTATATAACATATCGTTCTTGCAAGCATCTAGATGGGAAACACACAGTTTTCGGGAAATTAGTTGGTGGCATGGATACATTAACGCAAATGGAGAAAATAGAAGTGGATAACAAGGATCGTCCCATTGAGGATATAATCATTGAATCTGTGCAAGTATTTGTTGATCCATTCAAAGAGGCACTAGAAGAATTGGAAAAAGAGCGTGCCGCAGAAATAGAAAAGCAAATACAAACCGCTGCCGAAGCTAAGAAGCAGAAACGTTTAAATGAACCGCTGAAAGTCTATCGACAAGGCGTTGGCAAATATTTGAACTTAACGGAGACAAAAACCAGAGGTGCAGACAATAGTGCGAAAAACGATGCCATCAAAAAGAAACACAAATCTGTAGGCAAAGGAACATTCGGGGATTTTTCTACATGGTAGATTTAGCTTTATTCATACAAACGCTTAGATTACCTATTTATAAAAATGACAAGATCAAAAATTAACAGACATTTTTTTTGTACCTTAACTAATGAATAACGTTTAAACGCCTTTTACTCGCTGTTACTAAGTGCTTGCTCCCGTTCTTTCCAGTTCTTTTTCATTTCATTTAATTTTTGCTGTCTACGCTTACGTTCAGCTGACTTTTTTGATTCAAGAATTTTCAATTGTGCTGCCACTGCGTTCTCGCCATTAAAATGAACATCCAATTTTTCCAGTAAGAGTTTTCGCGCTTCTATGCGGTTTTTAGAAGCCAGTCGATGTGTGTGACATTTAATTGTTATGTTTGTTGGGATGTGACGTAAGAATACACAGTTGGAAGTTTTATTTACCGATTGCCCACCTGGCCCACTACCGCGCATGAAGTCCTCCTCCAAATCTTCCTCATTTAATTTTGGGTACTTTGAGTAGTCTATTTTGCTGTTAGTTGTTTTACAGCGGTAGCAAGTTATAGACTCTACTATACTGGTGGGCAATGCATTGTGACGAGCGACAACTCTTCCTATCAGTCGTTGCAACATTGCCACTGTTGAGCAACAATCTAAAGGATGCGCCCTTTTCGCAAAAGCGTTTCACCACGCTAAAAATAATTATACAAATTTATTATTCATGCATTAGTTATGGAAAATAATTGTATTTACCTTGAAATTGAACGCAATCTGTACTGGGTCGTTTAGTTCACGACCCTCCCTGAATTCGCGTCGTATGCGACCCAAGAAGTAGTTTTTGTCTGTAAGTTGCAATTGATTACCGTAACGTATTAGATGCTTGTAAAGGCGTAGTATCTGCGGCTTAGAAGGTTTAAACATTTCGATATTATTTCTCTACTTTATTTAACAATTACGTAGACAAATAACTATCCACTTCGTTACAATGCATGCTCGATTGAATAAGAAAACAGCTGTGCTTAACTTACAGCTGTTATTTGTGGCTCTAAAACTGCAAATACTGATAAGTCGCACTGACAGTTGCTCTCAAACTGCCATTGTTGTTTTGAAAACTTGTGTTCATTAATACCTTGACAATTTAACTGAAGTTCGGGATTTTACCGAATTTTTCTAAAAATTTAAATGTGATTATTAAATTACTAAAGTTGCACGAACCTCAATAATTTTCAAAATATGTTAAAATGCTGGAAGTACCAGGGACATGTGTACACATCGCAACTTTAAATTAACCGCGACTAAAAATTTCCAAAACCAGTAGTTTTCGTCACTTCTTTCATTACCATTCGTGGTTGTTGTAATCTTCTAAAATTTCGCAATGCAAAATTAATGCTTTTTGTTTTAACTTTCCAGCAGTCTGGCGGAAGCTTGTAAACGTTAAAGTTCTAGGTTGAGTCCTGAGCTTTTTTCAAGTGATCAATTCCTTGACACTGCGTTAATGCACCCAAAGTCTAATTACCGTTGTAAAATTTCGAAAGTTATCTGCTAATATATTGACTTTCAATTTCGAGCGAGGATTTAGATTCAACATGCATATATACATATATGTATATATAATTACTTTCACATAATACTTTGAGAGCTAAAATTTGAAACGCGTAAATCGTGGTTAACTAGTTGCATACTGCATTGCCTGTAAGTAGGCATATACTTTTATATGAAGATATGTACATCATATGTGGTATTTATATGACGTATTTATCCTGTCTATACATTTCATAACAATTTCCTCAATAAGACATGCCATAACATTACAGTGCTGGAACTTTATAAACTCCGCTTAAAGGAATGCAAATTTAAATTCCGCAATTCAATGGACTTAGGCACTCCACAACCCCAGTTGCTCACACAACCGATCACAGGTCTCAGAGACTTCACTTTTCGCAGTTTGGACCACAGCTTGTCAGTTTAATTGGACATTACAGACAACATTGCAAATGGACTCCTCAGAAGCAGGTGCCTACACCCAAACAACGTTTAACTACCAATATCCGTAAGTACAGAGCTTGAAGAATGTCCATTTGTATTTATTGTGATTATATCGGGGATAATAATCAACCATGGAAGGCACAAAAGGAAGTGCAAGTCTCGTGATAGAAGGCAAAGCCAATCTTAGACAGTGATCGCCGATGCAGCACTTGTTAATGAGACAAATGCTCGTCTCAGCGTTCAATGTCAATGATTGTTGACTGCTGCGACTGTAAATTTGTTGCCTCAAGTATTTGTGTAATGCTAATGCTGCCGAGGTAGCTGCTTGCTGGAGATTACTGCCGAGATGGCGACTTAGTTAATTGCCACTTGCTTGGCTGCTGGAAGTTATCCCGATAATCGCGCACTTTGCTGGCGTTTGCTGCTGAAGTTTGAATGAATGGCCGAGCGTTACAGGTTGTTGGCACTTGCCATTGCTGGGCTGTTGTTGAGCGCTGGCAGCTGCAATCGATAAATGCCTTCAATTATCGCCAATTCATCTTTTAGTGTGGCGAATGGCCTCCGCGGACATATGCGCTTAATTGGACAACATGAATCGGCATGTTGCCTGTACAAGATGCTGTGTGTTCAATCATTTCCTCGTGGCAATTGTTTGTACTTGCAAGAGATTAAAATGTTTCTTGAAAGTCTTTGACGGTTACAAGCTGTAAGTTTACATGTTAGAAGCATTAAAGTGACGGGCTAATGGGCGGAAATACATAGACAGTGTACAAGATGTTTGCGCCCACATACTATGCTATGGATTATGCATAACAGTTTTAGATATTACGCTTAGCAGTTAGTATATTTCTACAGCTGAGAGAGTTGAGAAAAACAGTGCTTTTATATCTTTTATAATTCATTTTGAAACAAAATATGAAGATATTTCTTGTTGCAATATGTTAAAATATCCTAAGTCGACTTAAGCTAACTGACATACTTATTTAAATTTTGAGCAAAAAGCTGCATGTAGAGATAGACGGATTTCAACGTAATTTGAAACTGGCGACCCCAAGTTTTTGTCTAAGCTAAAATGCGAATTCCAGATCCGAACACGTTTCTTAAAATAAGTGAAATTAGACGCATTATATAAAGTAGACTTTAGCCCTTTTCCTACATTTTTCAAGAAATACACTCTCTTACATAGTATATGTGTAATTAAGCAAATGCTTGTGCGTAACTTGACCAAAATGGCGGGTATTGTCAAGCCTACTAACTAACTAACGCCATGTTCGAATTAAATGCCAGCAATAGTTTCATTCAAGCTATTTACTTGTCACTTGCCCGCATTTGTATATGTATGTGTTGGTGCGTAATAAATACAAATGTGGCAGAGTTGGCTATTCAAAACGCACGCAACAACCAACATTTTGAAATAAATGACAATGTGCAACCAATCAGGTGCATTTTAGTCGATTTTTATTTTTATTTAAAATACTTGAAAACAAAAATTTAACTAAAACCAGTCTGAAAACCTGCTGAGGCGCGAATGTGAGTGCTGAATTAAAATTAAAATTTTTAATAATTAAAATTAAAATTAAAATTAAAATTAAAATTAAAACTAAAACTAAAATTAAAATTATAATTACAATACAATCATATTTCAGTTTAAAAACATTAAATAAAAATTACCTCTACCCTATTATAGTTATAAATATAATAATAAACATAAATATATAAATATAAATATAATTTTAATTTTAATTATAATTTAAATTTAAATTTAAATTGTGATTATTATTTTGATTTTGATTTTGATTTTAATTTTAATTTTGATTTTAATTTTAATTTTAATTTTAATTTTAATTTTAATTTTAATTTTAATTTTAATTTTAATTTTAATTTTAATTTTAATTTTAATTTTAATTTTAATTTTAATTTTAATTTTAATTTTAATTTTAATTTTAATTTTAATTTTAATTTTAATTTTAATTTTAATTTTAATTTTAATTATAATTATAATTTTAATTTTAATTTTAATTTTAATTTTAATTTTACTTTAATTTTATATTCGTGCAACTTTTTACACTCAAACACCAGCGCCAACATCATTTCATTATTTAAGTTAAAAATTGAGTTCAAAATTAACTGCGTTTGAATTGCTGAATTTCCCCTCACTTGGAGTCCACACAACCTCATTTTTTGACTCAAATATGTTGCATAGCAACCGTTCGGAGTATGCAAGTTGCAGTTGTTGCAACAAGTTGTAACCACATTTGTATGCATCAGTACAAACTTCACGTTTGATTTGCGTTTACCGACTTTCGGCGAATCGAAATTGCGCATGCGCACAGTTCTTGTTGACAAATGTTATTTGTTTGTGTCAAAGTAGACGAAACGAGTGTAATGGCTAATTCACATAGGACTTTTACTTCGCTTTGCGTCAGACATTTGTTTTTTTTTTACAGAAAATTTCATTGTACGCTTTTGTATGAGTACGTTCACATAAAAAATTTTCGACGCGAAGCCAAGCAAAATATTGGGCAATTCTCATCTTTTTACGCTTTGCCAAGCAACAGTCGCCATTTTTATTAGAGAGAAACACTGAAAGCAAAGCGTTCATTGTGGCATATCCTCTGTTTTCTGCGCTTCGCTGTTTAAGTAGGAACTGTCACGCAAAGCGAGGAAAGTTGTATGTGAATGCGCCTTAAACGATCATCTATCGCTTGCTTGCTTTCATTCTAATCAGTCTTTGATAGTTGGCACTCCATCCCGGTGGAACAGGTTCGCTATGAATTCAAACATTTGTTGGTTGCTGTCGCTGTTCTTTATTTTCACTTTTTGGTGACGAAAAGTCACGCGATGGATAGTCTATCGCTGTCAACAACTGCGTACATTAATTTGCATCGCCCGTAACATGTCTGCCAGTTGCGTGCTACTCCAGTTAGCTGGGGGATATATAGTCACTGTGATACGAAGGTAAAATAATCAGTACCAAAAAAATATGCGCCAATTCTTGTCAAGATTGGCTACATCCTTCCTCCCAATTCCCTTGAATATTTCTTCTATCTTATGCGAGTATTTGAGTTGTTCAGTCTTCACTAAAAAATGGTTTGGCATCTGTATCTCTTTGACTTTCATCTCTCTTGTGGTTTCTACTTCCACTTTCGTATATCTTCGCAGCACACATTTAGTTTCCTGCTAAAAAATATTCTTCAGTTTAAATTCCATCTAACTATAAAACCTAATCTCAAAGTTAAAATCTTCACTTATTGCTGCAAAAATTCATTATTACTCCCTGCAATTTTCCACCTTATGTCGGACACCATTTTTGGCGATTTCATTACCTTTCTGCTACACCGTTAAGAGAGTAGATAGTTACCGGCCAGTTGCGTGTCTGCGCTAGCGAATACCTGCCGGTGACTGTCAACTGTCTTACCAATTACATCCTTTAGCCATTTGCCAAGATGTAGAGTAGAAATTTCGTATGAAGTTGGAAAATCAATCACGCGACATATACTGAGACCAGGCATAGAATATTACATAGTATTTGTTTTATTACAATTTCGACATGCCGTTACACAGACACGTTAAATTAAGATCACACATAATCGAAGTCCTTAAATATATCGATATTATGTTTCGTCACTAGATCATATAGTTCTTTCATTTGATGAGCTATTTCAAGGTCGACCGCCTCGCCTCCTCGGTGCATACTGTCCTCTCTCACTTCTTCACTAGCCATCTCTCGCGAAAACAATTCCTCCATTCCTCCGGACACCGGCTCCATCAATTGCATGAGAAAATGCGATGCGATGCTAAGGCTGTAAGGTAGCAGACGCCAGTATTCGCGCAAAAGGAATTCACGGCTGGAAAAGTAAATGTGTAGAGAATTTTGTAAGGAAGTCTTGTATATTCATCTATCCAGTATATAGTGCAAGGTGTACCTCAAGTACTCTGGTATCTGCTCCTCATTAGTGTGCTCTTTGAATGCTACGACTAGATTTGTGTAGTACTCCTCGAATATCTCGTCGAAATGCTTGCAACGAACAGCCGCGTAAGTAGACAAGGATAAGAAGGTGGCAAAATCTAACATTGGCGAGGAAACTCGCATTGTCTGCATATCGAACATTAGCGCCTCTATTGGCTTTTCGGCGCTCTGGAAGAATATTGCTATACAAATAGAAACCATGCTTGTATCGTTGCGCATACTCACATCTACTTCAGCATATTTGAACGCTATATTGTTGCGTAAATAATCACCATGACAAAGCGTTGCCAGTGGTTCTACCGGTGCAACCATTTTGCGACCAAACGCGACGAAGTCACTTATTATTTTACAGTAGCGACTTATGAAACTCTCCTCTATTTGTGGCTGATACTTCCTAGTAGAAATCCCAAGACGCTCCGCGCCAAATTTGGTTATCATTTCCCATAAAGGATGCATCTCCGTAATATCGTACCGTGGCTCCCGCAGTGACTGGGTTAAGCGCTTGAAATCAGCGGGGTTTTTATACTTCAATGCGAAACCCGTGCCATGAAAAATACCCAGAGTTTTCACTGAAAAGAAAACCAAACTTTGGTTCATGTATACCACGGTTCTTCTTTCAAAAAAGTTACTAATTAATTCTCTTACAAGCTACAAGCGCATGCTCCAATGAGAGATTGAATTTCTGCTTGGCCACACAGAAATTATCGGCGGCAAAATCTTTTAATACCACTATGGCTGAACAGCTTTGTAGGTCTCCATAGTAGAATCGGGGAATATTAAATCTATATCCGGTAAATTCTTCTAACGCCGGCAGAATATTGTTGTAAGATAAGATCTCGTTGCTGAATAACGCGCCAAACTGTATGGCATCGAATGTCACTTGCGGCAAATTTGGGGTTTTCTGTAATTGGAGTTTTCAATAAATGAAAAGTGAAATAAGAATATTGAAATTCTATTATAAGGACGAAGAATACATGAGATCTAAAGGGTCCATAGCGAAGATGCCTAATAATATGTTAATTATAGGTTCTCCAACTAATGACTCATTAAAGATTTTACATGTGACCTAACCTTGGGGACAACATTTCACTAGATCACTATTGATAACTCAATTCCTCTTTCTTTTACAAACATTCTGTGGTTCTTGTTTGGCCAGTTAATAACTGAAATTTCATCTCTCTGCCACATTTGGCGCATACTGTTTACTGGGTAGAATCTGATCTAAAACCATTCCAAAAGCAACTAAAATGTTAAGCTGAGTTACTGATATGTGGCCACGTGCTAGTTCGTTCTATCCGATATTTTCGTGGTAATTAAGGTATTATCATAAAAATAAGTGGTTTAGCGCTACAAAGAACACATACGTAATCACAACGTTTGCATAAAGATCTTCCAGACGAAAAATTGTCGTTTATCTAAGCATTAAAACTCCATAAAATTTATAACACCGATTAGTTTCTCCTAACAATAAACTGCCAAAACAATTGTCAGTACATACACATGGAAAGTATATATATATATATTCAAATCTCGCGGGATTATAAAGCCTGTAGTTATATAAGTGAAATATGTGTGTATTAATGTTCACTGGATAATTTAGTTACTATCCAATCAAAATGTTAAGTGGGTATAAGTGAGTAAGGTGTAAGTAAGGGCACTCTTAATGAGGGTCGAAAAGGAAGGAAAGTGGCATCGATGTTCTTTTACAAAATCTATTTATTATATATATTATGGTATCGTTTCCCCAGACAATACGAATTTTAAAAAGTAATGTTAATTCAACTGTAAACGACAGAGAATTACTTAATTATAATTTTTATTTATTTACAAATACTTAAATGTTTTACAAAAATACTAAATACTAATTATTTGAGCTACATTAAAAATGTTTGAGCATCAAACACCATGGGTCGTTAATACTTTAATTTCATAAGTGAAGTGACCAGTGTGAACATGGTGTTATGCACTAAATCCATAGCTTTTTGATCCTAGTTAATTTTCCCGTAGAGAACTAGTACATCGGCTTCAATATTGCATTAGGCAAAATTTAATATTGTATAATAAAAATAAAATTACAGGGTGTGCGACTCGAGTTTTAATTATCATAAAATTCACCAAACATACTTCATTTATGGACCTACATAACATAATAAATGTATAATTATATTATTAAGTACGCACTCTTAACTAACTAGAACTTTTCGATAGCACTAAGGTGGGCCTAATTTTTATCAACTGATATTTATAGCATTAGATTGTACGTATGAGTCGTGAACTTGCACGCTTTTCAGCAACTTAAATTGGTAGCATATAAAATATGGTCAGCGAGATAGTCGTCTAAAAGATAAGTATGTAGAAAAGGTTCAGTTGTAAAAAGTGTAAAGTAAATAGTATAATTCTATATAGACTTATATGCATGCGCTTATTAATTTTACATTCGGTATTTGTAGCAATAACGCGTATGAGTAATATCACAACTATTTTGTTTGTTTGAGGTGTTACGCTTATTTTAGGACATACCTAATGCACATGTTAATGACATGATTGCCTGAAAATGCACTTAAGCGTCTTCTTGAATAATCAAAGTTTTCAAAAAACACACGAGAACACTTCAGACTGACTCTACAGATTACAAAGTTATATACAAGTATATAGATATGTATATATGTATGTATATGTATGAAGATACGACATGCTTGTGCATTTGCAATTTGCAATACAACTTTGTATAAATGCGCTTTTGTGTATGCCAAAAGAATATGAATGCAATTTTTTGTTTGTTTTTTGCAATTTTTGAGAGCAGCAATTATTGTATTTATGTTTTGTTGCAGTACAGAACCCACCTTTACAACGAGCGTCGTGGTTCTTGGATCTTTGTCGTTTTGCTGCACCTTGATTATAGCCCGATAACAGGTGGTCAACATGAAAGCTTCTTCTGACCCGATAAATTTTAGCTGCACATCGAGCAGTTTTACATTGTCAGTTGTGGCGCCGTCAATTGCATTGTCTGTCCGAAAATTTTTATTTGCTAAAAGCTGTGGAAATAGCGTGCACTTAAGCCAATCAATCTCTCCGTTAATTCTTTCGTCTTGTGCCGTCGTCATTTTTGCCTCGAATTTCACAATACACGATTCACCGCTAAAACGTTTCGTGCGTTCGTATTTAATATTACAGCAGAACTGAACTGGCGGCTAACAGAGTGAGATATTTATTTTAAATATTTTATTCAAAACCTAGGTATTTGCCTTACAGTCTGTTACTTGTAGTACTTGATTAAAGAAATGAGCGCGAATTGAAATAAATGTTTACTACAATGGGAGATCCATTGTTGGATGTGCGAGTACTTCATGAATACTGATTAAATGCATGTGGATAACTTATAATTCTTTGCTCTCTATGCAAGTACGTTTGCTTAAAACAACGATAGTTCACGTATGAGAAGCAAACGATTAACTAGGTTCGTTGTTAAAAACTTTTGTTTAATTAGTTTAATTTTTGTTATTTTCCACAAATATAAAATAAAATCTTATCTCAGTGCTACTTTTGCTATTGTAAATTAATAGGTAATGAATGCCAGATAACGCCCTGAAATGCTATAAATATGTATATCTGCTATATGTTTTGCTTTGACAAATTAGCACCGATTAGATAGTATCATGACAACATTGTTGGTTTGAGATCAGAGAGCTTTTCTCCTACTTCGAGAAAATGTATATACCATCACATTTGACTCGGACAGACAATACAAAACATTTTCTTATATTTTAATAATAATCTTAATGATAATCCTATTAAACCAATGCAAGCATGCCAACGCTTAATACAAATTTCTATATACTTCTTATAAGCCTTGGCTGGGATGGCGTTCAGTCACTTTTAATGGCTTCAACGCACTAACGGCGCGTTCCCCAAAACGAATTTTTCAGTTTCGAACATAGAAACAAGTCACAAGGAGCCAAATCTGGCAAATACGGTGGACGAGCGATGGCTCTCGTTTTGCTAATCAGTTAGTCACAGTCGTGTTAGAATGTGACGGCGCTTATCATTGTGAAAAATTCATCATTTTTCTGCCCACAAACCGGACGTTTACGACGAATTGCTTCTCGTAGACGCCTCAAAACTACCAAGTAGTATTCCTTATTAACCAATGGTGAACTACACCACGGTAATCAAGGAAAACTATGAGCAAAACCTTGATTTTTGAACAACTTTGACGTGTATATTTCATTTAAGTAGAAGTTGTGACAGTTTACGTAAGCTTTCCTTGAAATAACGCAGCATTCTAAGGAACAAAAATTTGTTATTTATTTTTAGAACTGTTCCAAAAGTGAAACAATATGCCTTTATAATCACTGCTTGAGACTATATGAAAAAAAAAATACCTTTGTGTTTTTTGTGATTATTAAAAATATTTATAGAAATATTAAATCAGTTCACTTTTATTAACTTCAGAACAGTTTTAGTGCAAAGCAGTGTTGACACCTTTTAGTATTTTGTTTTACCACGTGCCATATGGTTTTCTTATTATCCAATACATTTTATTAAAAATAAAATATCATCAATCTTAAATACAGCGTCTAGTGCCGTCAACGCATGACTAAAACTCTGCTGCATTGTTGATTACAATGCAAAATCTGAGATTTTAAACAATTTTATTCTCATTTCTCTCCGGTTACATCTACACTCTGTTGACTTAGTACCTTTCAATTGGTTTCCTTTCATAATTTAAATACAGGTTTAATCAAATAACTTTGAGATATTGCACATGCTACATACGCTTACGCCTCTACATCCGCTAATTTCTAATCTTCAAAATTGGAACCCTGAAGCGAAAACGTGCTGGCGCCATTAGTCACTTCGTGGCGGCGCACTTTGCGTAAATATTCACGTAATGTGCCAAAATCCAATAAATCTCTAAATGATCAATAGAGAAGTGCAAATATTTTTACATTATTTATTGCCAGCTTTATTCAATAATTTCGCTATAAAACAGTAATATTAGCTGCAATAACCGTTATAATGCCATATGTTTATTTAATAATTTATGATCCTTTAATTGTTTAAAAAATTAAATCCCCACAAACTCCACACATAAATCAATGATAAATCACTTTTTTTTTGGCCCTCTCCATCTCTCTAACTTATACGCTGCTATTTTCTACATAAAAGGATAACTATTCACGGGCTTATGGCTTATGGCATTTGGCCGGGGATTTATGGGCGCAACAATCAGCGTGAAATAAATCAAATCTCTGATATGTTTTTCACTTATTGTCTAATAAAGAGATATTGCGAATGCGTCGACTTGGAGCAATTGAGTAGAAAGCGCTTGGTTATTAGACTGGCTCTTTCTCACTATGATGGCGGCAACGGTTGCGGGTTATGAAGCGCGGATGCTGTTGTTGACGGTCACTATGCCGGTGGTTACGTGTGCTGATCAGGCAGCGCGGCGCATGCAGTTAATAAGCGGACGGAGAGCTTGTTTGCGTTTTTTTGTTGTTATTTTGTATCATATACCATGTAGGAGATGTCATAGTTAAGCGCTTTTTTAAACTCTCATTAATGTTTATAGGCCGTTCAGTCACCCTGTTGTTGGTTGCTGCATGTGCTAACTGTTTGTTGATTAAAAGCTGTTGAATAAAAGCTCATTGACAAAGGGTAGACGTTGGCAGTTTATTGGCTGTCTATACGTACTGTTATTCATGACATACAGGAAAACCCCCGAAAAAAGGATTCTGGCGGTGAGGAAGACTTTTCTGCTTAAAGTTATATAAAACTGAAAAGCCAAACTAATTTATTATTACAATTGGTGAGTATAGTTAATGATCGAATTACTAGTGAAAGTTATGATTTTTTCACAAAATGGCGGGTTCCCCAAAAAAGTCACTTTGTGAAAAATTCCATTACCATTGAGAGTAGCTTAAAAGATCGAAATTATTCTCAAAAATCTTATTCGTTCGATCATGACTTGAGAAATATTATATATCTTAGAAGGTCGCGTAAAAATTTCAATTCAATCGGTTCAGCCGTTTCGGAGAAATTTTCTTCATCCACTCTGAAAACAACGTTTCGGGAAAAACGCATTTAAAATTTTGGGAGCCGATTACACTAAGGGAGTTTATAAACTAAACTAGTCAACTAAAACACTGTTAAGTGCGGTATCTATTAGAATCAAGAATATTTAGAAATATAACATTGACTTTTAACAGTCGCACACTAAATTTATTCATCTTCAGCGTTTTATTCTCAGATTTGTTTGTGTGTCAAATTGTCTATAACAAAAAAGGCTCCTTAAAAGCATTATAAGGCTATACACATACATTTTAGTATTAGTGTCATCCACTTCATACAAATAAGTTGTCAAAATGAATTAATTTTTACTGAAAACAATCACTACATTCAGTTGGAAAGCAAAAGGCGTATACTGATGTTTACCTTAAGTGGTTCCATCTCATTTGGGATGCATACGCTGTCAAAAGGCCACGCCTGTTTTGTAGGCATATCTTCATCACTGTAATCTGTCATTATTGAATTAAATCGATATGAGAGGCTACAGCTACGTATTATATATACATACTTGTATGTACTATGATTAACTATACACAGTAATAGTGCTGAGCTTTACAGTTGTGTTTGTGGTTGACGTTATGTGGACGTTAAACTTGACAGTGAAATGACTCGGTACATATTGCTTCACAAATCAAGCAAATTCTAAGGTATTCCCAGCAAGAAAAAAATCTGTTCTTACCGTGCATAGAACTATGTTCGACAGAAGATAAATTTCGCAATTAAAACTTTGCTTCTTTTCAATATTATTCTACGATACTATAACTTTTGTTGCCATGTTTCAGTTATTTATCAATATAATTGAAGTTTTAACAATTGAAAACTCTTCTCGAAATTATTTTCAGCTGTTTGCTTTCTTAACCCTCTTGGATCTGTAGGTTTTCTTTACTTTATCAATTATTTTTAATTTTCAAACAGGTGGCAGCTTTCCCACTTTAATGTTTTAAATTATTTAAGTATTGCACTGTATCATTGACGGGTCTCTATTGAAAATATTTATTTTTTATACAAGGTAAGCAATACATTTATTATATTATAGTTATAAACTTTATCTTACTATTTCAGTGCATTCCTACGAGGCATTCATATTCTTCGTAATTAGTATTCATACTATCTTCGCATTTGACTTGGAATTTAATTTCAAATGTGCGAACGTGTTCGTTCAATTTTATCAGCAATTCACTTTGACTTTGGCAATAATATTCAAATAAAAATAATAACTGCTTCGAAGGGTTGCTGTGGTTTTTATGACTCATTTACATATACTTGTAGACTGTCATACGAATAAATTTATAAAGTTCATTTAAACTGCCCGCCCAAGCCGAATTGATAAACAAAATTTTCCTAGGTTCGTATAACTTTTTAATGTTCGTGTGAAGGTTGACCTATATAGGTATGTCAATTAGTGCGTCTGTTTGGTTGCGGCTCTTGCAACCTGTTGCTAAAAAGTATAATAGTTTTGTTCACCTAACGGTTGTTTGTATCACCTTAGAATAATCGATTTAGATACAGGGTTATATAGATATAAATTATCAAGATGTCGAGACGAGTTTTATTCATAAATTTCTTGAAAATATGGTCTCGAGTATATTTTATAGGGTCACAGACATTTGATACTGGGTATTACAAACTATGTGGCAAACTTTATTTACACTGCTCAGGGTTTAGATATTAAGACAATTATGTATTAAAAAAAATTATTAAAAACATATTTGAAAATAATTTACTATTTTTATATTTTCAATTCAAATAAAATAAAGCTGTTTTTTTTTTAAATTAAACAATAATACCTAATATCAATAATAAACACACTAAGCTAACGTGAGATCTTTATGCTGACCGGCTATATTCTACAATGATCCGATCTAAACAATTCGCTCGACGATTGTTGCGTTGCCTTGGTCCATGTCAAATTGTGCGAAGATATTTTGTGAAATAAAAAAGTTTTCTTTAGAGGTACTTGTTTTTGAACTATATGCTAAGTAGTCCGATCTGAACAATATAAAGGGGACATTGACGTTATAAAATGTAAAAAAAGGGATAATTTACCTCATAATGTAAGTGAAGGGGTCATTGACCCCAAATATAAACAACAGTTGTTGACTTGGCTAAATGTAGATAAAAGGGTCATTGACCTCAAATGCAAACAAAGGTTGTTGACTTCGCTCAATGTAAAAGTATCATTGAAAACAAATGTTAAAAGAGGTTGTGGACTTGGCTCAATGTAAATGTAAAGTCATTAACATCGCTGAAAGAGCTAAAAGCTATCCCAAAAATCGAGTTTGAGAAGTGTTTCTACGATTGGAATAAGTGCATAATATCAAATGTTGATTATTTCGAAGGCGACAACATTATCCATGTAAACAAATAAAAAAATACTCTCAATAATTTTTGAACACACCTCGTATACATGTATATATATATCGTATACATGTATATATATATATATATGTATATATATATATTACTATGCACTTATGGTCATTAAATAGTCCATTTAGGAGAAAGCACATTATTTTGATTGACACCAACTATCCATTCGTTTGACTTTTTTCCCCTGTCCATCGACCGCATGTTGATGCACGTGCTCTGTGTCAAGGTCTTTCCTTCTTTGTTTATTAGTCATCATCCCCTGATTTATCCGTGTCTTAAAAACGCTTCTAATTGCTTTTTATTTTGATTATTGTCTTTCCGTATACTATATACTGCGACGTAAACAAACAATTCGTTCACAATCTCTTAAGGTATTATTTAAAGAGAAATAAATATGTGAGAGAGCACACATAAATGTGTTACATGCGCTGTACGACTTTGAATGCTCTTTGCCTGTCTGAAGCGAAAGCGAAAATGTTTCGAATCTTTGAGAGAATTTTGGTTTTTCTTCTTATGTATACTGTTTGTAAAGAAAATTATTTATTTAATAAATAAAATAAAACGACGTATAAATACCTTAATAACAATATTTTTTCCGAAAAAAATTCGTGAAACTTAGAAAAACTTTAGAAGGTCTCTCTTTACAAAACCATTATTACTGGAAAGTAAAATCTTGCAGTTAAATATTAGGGGTAAAAATAATTATTTTTAGCACTGAAAATTCACTGGCTGTAAATCCCATTACTCCCATTCTCATTGGATTAATTTATTTTATAGGCGGTGAAATAACGTCTCAAAATATATTAGTCTGCTGGGAATAATTAAATCATATAGTAAAATAAAGAACTAAACATTCTCTTCCCTCAATAATTGAATGTAATAAATTTAAGGCACTATAAATGAATTCCCGCACTAAAATTTTTCATACATTCAATTTCGCCAAACAATAGCAAGACACAAGGAATGCCAATCATATTGCAAAAGGCCAGTACCCGTCGTCATGTCTGCCGCTTCAACACTCTTGGCAGCCGGAAATTAAATTTCCTCAGCGGAAATTTATTCAAATGCAAAATCGCGCAACGTCTGCCTTCGCTCTTAAATTTCCACAGAAATGCCGGTCTCTGACGTGACAATGCCGCCATCACAACTTGGCAAACTGAAAATAAACAAGTTTGAAAAACCAAAACAAAGCGCCACAACTCGGAAAGATTGCGGCGAAAATATGGAGCAGAGGCCATGGCCAGACGACTGGCTGGCCAACTTGTGTGGCCTAGTCTAACGGCACTAGCAGTCAGTTGGCGAATGCTCACCAAAGCGGTCGGTCGTGTTTGCGCTTCGGAAAATAAAATCCACTTGGCGTCTAACGGTGATGCAACACATACATAGATGTATATGAGCGTGTGTGCGTGCGCTTGCGTGGAAATCGTGTCATAACAGTAGTTTGTGTGGGTGAAGTAAACGAAGGCGAAATTCACACTCCCCCATCGTGCAACAGCTGTCTGGGTCATTGGCCGCCAGCGACACGGCACTTGTGGCCAACTAACCCGACTAACTTTACATATATTGATTTTTGTGAGTGAAGTGAAATTTTGGCGCCAGTAAAAGTGCATGGTTTTCGTTTTAAGAAATTTGGTAGAGCAAATCGATACAGCGACGTGCTGTTACGGCGAATGGAGTTGGATGCTCGGAAGTGGCATGTAGCGGGAGCCCGTCCAACGTGCAATTGTGATTGACGTAGCGTGACGTGCGTAGTGAATTTAAGTCCACACTTTGCTGCAGTGATATCGCTATAATTGTGACTGCAGCTACACATACATACGCTAGTGCTTACGCTGAGCTGCGATAACATTGCGCTGTTTTCACAAAATTAATCATAATAATATACATATATTAAGCTATGAATATGCATGCATTAACTAATACGCCATTTGCTTGCCACTTAACGCATTGCTAACAATAACAGAAAATATAGCGAAATTACGAGTACGCTAATAAGTCCGTGCAACAGCTTAGCACACTCAGTATGTGCTTGTACATGAGTGTGCCGCGTTGGATTAGCCTGGAACGTTTCGCCGGTGCGGTCTACGATAGCGCCTCACATCTCATTGAAGTGTCGGTGGTGTTATTTCTACTCAGCTGTCATAGCGATAAATCGGCCTCAGCTACACGTGGTAAGAGTGTTGATGCACTGACAGCAACCGCTGCTGTCAGCGCCACTCGTGCTGCTTCTAGTGACTCCACTGAAGCTGTCATCGTTGGCGGCGATTCAAGATTGTCGGTTGTGTTGTGTGCGGGTGATATTGCCGACAAGCTGAGGGCAACAAAAGTGTCAGCACCCACAATTAGCCACACAGTTGTGCTAGAGCAACCGAGAGTGTAGTGTTGGAGAAGCTGTGTGCAGTGCTTATGAACTTCTTGGCGGATATTTTTGTGAACATTTAAAGTGAAGTTAAACTTAAAGGCAAGCGAAACAACAAAAACGAAGTTTTATGTCGAGAATAAAATTCGGAAGCTCTTATAGCAAAGAATATAGTGTGAAAGTGGTAAAACCATAGAGAAATTTGCTCGAGCGCTGTGTGTTAAAATGCAGTGAATATCGGAAGTATTTTCAAACGCTTGTGATATGCTAAAAATGCAACAAATGTGAGCATATTTTTATATTCAATGAAGCCAATATTTAAAATTCAGAAAATAAGTCAAAGAATATAATAGTGATAAAAAGTATATGATATATTTTTTTAAAAAGCCAGCAAACAATAAAATATAATAATAAATAATAAAAATCTAGTATATAATAAGTGTAACCTGTGTGATAAAATTTTCTAAGCTGTTTATAGGATTAATTGGCAGCTGTGAGGTAATTATAAAGTTCATATTTACTAAGCTGCTCAACTAAAATTATGTTTGTGTATATTAATGATGTGCATGGAAATTTTGAAATAGATTAAATATAATACACTGTCTGGTGAATGTATGGAAGAAAAGTGCACTGAAAAGGGCACACTTTTTTATAATTATTTTGCTATGTATATATATTGTGCTTAAGGCAAATTAAAATTGAGAAAATGAGTGAGTGAGTTTTAAATAGCTTGGATCACTATATAAGAATTAAAAGTTATGCTGTTATATTGAAAATATTTGCATTAAAATAATCTGTGTGTAAGCAAAGAATTATTGGGAATGTTTTTCAAAAAGAAAAACAACAACAATTTAATAGTTACTTTTGTGCCACTTTTAAGCGAATATATTTCACAGATATAATTTGTAGTGATGACTTAATATTCGAATGGTGACAATATTACATTTCTCCTAACTAACATTTTGTGATATTTTTTTGCTCTTTAATTGTGACTCGGAATTTAACTTTGAAAAATTACGATGCTGACAGCTTATCACCAAATATTGACTTTCAATTAATAGAAGCCTTCAGAGATTGTTTACAACGAACTACTTGTTACCATAATGAGATAAGGTCTTGATTAAGAACTTTTTTATTGTATAGCACATATGCAACGATTTCCAAAATCGTTCTTGTTCTTAAAAAAAAGAACCTGCGAGAAACCGTTTTTAAAAAACTTTCTACTACTTTCCATTCACAGTTTTTCAATGAAACAGTATCAGGATATACCATATATAAGCACTGTTCCAGAATAGTATTTTTTAAAACCCATGAAGCGTTACTTTGACTTTTATTTTGTGAAAACACCCATTTCTTTATGTGAAGAGTTTTCGGCAGGATAAAAAATTTATTTACCAGCACGAAGCCATTAAAGCTTTTATTGACATTATTTTTCATTAAAATTAAATTAACTCAAAGATCTACTTTACATAAATTAGTCATCAACATATGTTTTGCAAAACAAATAAAATATGTTTTGATAGCTTTCATCCAAATTATATTCTTTCCGCCTATTGTGATTGATGGCGTTGATTATAATTAAGTCGATCTGCATTAGCTGCCATTTATGATACATATGGTGGACAACACGTGCATCGATTAAATCTTTGAGAAACACGCAAATATTTATATGAACGAAAATACATTCACATATCTATATATTCACACGTATACGTGAATGAGAACGAAAATCCAAGCCAGCATGTGCTAATTGAAATTCTGTGTTTGTGTGCCAATTCACTTCACATTTGCTAATTGGCGAACGTGTGTGCGTATATATTTATGCCTACTATGTGTATGCGAATATGTGCTTAATAAATCACGCAGGTAGTAGACAATTACAATTAGCAACTTTTTGTTGTTTACTTGGATTGCACTCATTTAGGCGCAAGTGATGTTCAAATATTGTCGTTAAAGGAAGGAAATTTCGAATTAATCAACTTAATTTACTGCTGAAATTTTTATAGAACTGTGCTAAATATTAAATAAACATTAAATTAAATCGCAATTTTTTTATACTTTTATTCGGTAAATTGTTGCCCAACTTTAAACGCTTATTAAGAGAAAATTTTAAAAAGAAAATTGTTGAAATATTTTATTGCCCCAGCATAATAAATTATGACGATACCCCTAGCCGAATGCCGCCCCCACTAAGAGTTTAGCAGCAAGCAGCAGTCAGTGAAGTCATTAATTAGGTGTATATGTGTGCTGCTGTGTACGCGCTTCGTTCAAATATATTTTCGTGCATAAAATACATTTTCGGAAAACTCTGCATGAGCACTAGGGCGCTCGAAAATGCTGTAAAATATGACGGTTTATTTGTAGGAACTCAGCAAACCGGACGCTTCGGAGAACTGAAATAAAAATGAATTATTGAAGATTAACTCACAACTGTGCATTTGTGTGTCATAAATTAACATAAATAGCCGAAGAAAATGCTCACACACTGTGATACACCGTGGGATGGAACACGAAACATTTGTAATAATTTATTTTCTGCTTGAGTGCATGTTCTACCAGTATCAAAATTGTCCCCATGCTCATTCTTTCCAGTTTCTTCCTCTTGTTTGACACATTTACGGTCTAAGCAATTTTGGTTGTGTCTACAAATTCTCGCTAGTAGTCTCTTCATTTCGCAACTCGCGTCAATTTGAAATATTCAAATAGAAACAAGTTCTTTAATCGATCTTTTCGGAGCTGTAATACCTTTCACAGGTGCATTTTTTATAACATAAAATAGTATACAAAATAGTAACAGCAGGCGGATCTAAGCAATATGTTCGGAGATTATATTGTTACTTGGACAATAATTTATGCCAAATTTTGTGAAGATCTTGTCAAATAAAAACGTTTTCATTTAAGTACGCGATTTTGATCGTTCAGCTTGTATGAAAGCTTTATCTCAACTCATGTGTTGATCATTTATATATTTATATTTTCCTTCTGGGTATTACAGACTTCGTGGCAAACTTAATACGAGTAACTTTGTTCAGGGTATAAAAAATATATAACTTTTTAGTATGAATATTGTCAACGCTACTTATTATCACTTTCGCTTCTATAATGGCTATTATTTAAGACAAAAAAACTAATAAGTTTAAGATTTGTTTTATTTTTCAATATTTGCTAAACATTTCGTGTGTTCGAAATCCCGGTGCCCTCAGCGAAAATGTGCAAATGACAAATAAAGCGCGCGAAGTGATAAATATAATCGAAAAAGTTTTTGCGGTGGCTCGGCATTTCTGTTTGTTTACGGTGAAAACTTTGTTTCTCGTTGTTCTTATTTATTCGCGAAGGGACAAAAATTTGTCAACAAAGTGTTGCTATTTTTCACACTTGCATAAAGATATATTAAGCCGCTAATGTATATGGAAAAAGCTGTCGGTGTCAGGTGTCGGTTTTTACGAAGTTTGTTAATAAGTCTTATATTAAAATATTGTATTGTGAAAAATGAAACAAATTAATTCTCCTAAGGGGAGGGAACATTTAATTTTAACATATAAAAATTCCACAAACTTATATAACTATAAGAAATTAAAACGATATTTGATTATTGTTTATCATTGGAATTGTTGAAATTCAACTTTCAGTCTAATCTAACACAATACTTGTATATACTGCTAAGTGTATAATTTATGTCGTAAGAGCTTTGCTTAACCCGATCAAATTTGACCCAGACTGAGAAAAAAAAACTACACTTTCACTCATTTTAGTACAAATATTTATTATAGACGTGAAATACAAGCATGTCAATGCTTACTCCAATTACACTTGTTATGGTCTTAGGCTAGGACTTTAGGCCTTTGGTATTTTCAGTTTCGACTCATTTTTGGAGCGCTATTCGCTAGAATGTTTTATGGTAGGGTTCTCAGTTACGTTAGCAAGCATCTTTTTTCCGATCTCTAATCGACGTCGTTTTTGGTACGAGTCTTGCCTTGACACAGTTCTTACCCAAAACGTTAACCAAAATTGAGCCGATCCATAAAATATGTTGAGATCCTCTGCTATCATTCGTATGCCAACATGACGATTTTCTTTAACTTTATCGATGTTATCGTCCTTAACAGAGGCGATTTGGCGACTCGCCTGAGATAAGTTTTCGATGACTTAAGCTTGTTGTTCAATTTTTTCCATGACAAAAATCGCCAGACAAATTTTACGTCTCGTACAGCGGACAAATACGCAATAATTGACATATAAATTTCAAACTTCACATAAACAAGGTTGTCCCAGTTTAGAGGAAAAATTTATCGATTCGGTTTGCGTGCGCTTTTTCATTGTATTCAGCAATGTTTACAATTTCTTCATTGAGAGATATACGCAAGAAAAATGTTTACAAATTATTCAATTTTAATATCAAAATAATCGTTTTCCAATTGCGACTTTTCGTGCTTTTGCCATTTTATGGTCGTCTGAGTGGTGCGGTAAATAAACAAAACTATCAATTCTGGTGCAAAGCAAATCCAAAAATTATTCATGAACAACCAATACATTCACCTATATTGACAGTTTGGTGTGATTTTTGGTCTGGTGGAATCATCGTTACTGTCAATGAAGAGCGGTAGAGAAATAGATCGATGATAACCAACTTTTTATGGCCGCAATTGGAAGAAGTTGAGCTTGACAACATCTGGTTGCAACAAGACGAAACTACGTGCCACACAGCACGTGCAATAACCGAATTATTGCGAGAAAAGTTTGGAGATTCGATAATTTCAAGAAATAATGACATTAAATGAACTCCAATAAGTTGTGATTTAACACCATTAGACTAATTCTGGTGAGTTTATTTAAAGTCATTGGTCTTTAGCAATAAACCAGACTCTCTACAAGCTTTAGAAGTCAATATTGAACGTGCTATTCATGACATACGATTTGAATTAGTGGAAAAAGTACTGGAAAATTGGTTAATCGAATTCGTTCCATTAAAAGAAGTCATGGAGGCTTATGAATGACGATAAATTCAGAACTTAATTGTTACGATTGTACTCCACATTAAATAAAAAACTTTGAATTTTCTTAACAGTTAGTGTGTTTTAGTTTGGAAAAAAAAAGTATTTCACTTAAATTGGAAAACCCTTTATAATATTCTCTACAATTATGCATTATTATTTACAAATCAGGTGTTGTCTACATTTAGGATGTTGTTTAATTATTGTCAAAAAGGTTATGATAACATGCCACATAGGTACATCATCATCATGATACATCATACCTAAATTAATTAATTATTAAAATGCATGCAATGAGTATTTTTTTGTGGTGAAAACCAGTGGCTGTTCTCCCATTTAATTTTCGTCAAACATTGTGAATGTGTCAAGGACATGTTAAACACACATTTTGCGGCTGCGGCTGTTACAACACCTGTCAGCCCAACAATTAACGAAAAAGAGCAAAAGTAATTAATCATGTAATTAATTAACCTTCAATACAAAAGCAACATGAGGCACACACATTACTAGAACCAAACCACAATTATGCATCTCAATAAATACATCACCTGTTTATATGCTGCAGGTATTTGCCACAGTACCCAAACGATGCATCTCGGCAATTGCACCACAAATGAGAATTTGCACACAAATTAAATTGAATTCGGGATCCCGTGCTGAATTCCTGACAATGTTGATCCGATTTCAAGTAAAGCAATTCAAATTGAAAACGAATAACTGTGTAGGTGAAATTGTGAAGAGGAAAATTCCCAAAAATAGGTGTAATTGGTGAATACATTAAAATACCTCTACATATCCATGCTTCAGTCGAAATATGCCACACGGAAGCAATGAAATGAATGCGAAGAAAGAGCGCAAATTATGTGTCGAAATGCAAATAAATTGAAAGAATTTAAAAAATTAACATTCATTTATGCGCCACGTGTTATTGAAAGCGTCACGGTTCGGAAGCGGGTTTTAAATCGCATTTTTGAGTACAGTGATTGTGCTTCTCTTTTTGTAGATACAAACATGATCTTAAAAATAACTTATTGTATTTTCACGAGGAATTATAATTAAGTTTGATATAAGTCTTATGTCAGTATATCTATAAAATAAAAAAAGACGTGGTGAGCCGCTTCTTTCCAAAATTTCAGATCGATATCTCAAAAACTAAGAGACCAGTTCATGTATATACAGACAGAAAGACGTACGGACATGGCATAAATCGACTCAACTATATATATACATGTACATATGTAAACTTGGTTTACAAAACAATGGAAATCTAAATTTTTGCATTTAATTATGCTCAAAACTGCGAAAGTGCAATGCAAAAAATTAGATTTCCATTGTTTTGTAAACCAAGTTTTATTTGATTATCACACTGTGCGTGAAATCAGGCATGTCCTTGTTTCTCTACAAATATTCGCTTTTGCAAATGAATTTCTTATGCAAATGAGCTGTATCAGCGGTTTTCCACTTCCCGCCACAGGTCTTTTGGCTGGCCAACAAGCTCTGTGGTAAAACAACCGCTTCGTCATTGATTTTGTCCCCTTGTGGTATTGAAGTCGTAATGGCGTCTTGAGCTGCTATTTGGTCGCTGTCATCAATAAAAAAATCTGAATAATCAATCAAACGATTTATCCGATTATCACCGATTAAAGCGTTTGCGTGAGCGTTTCCTGCGATAGCGTCACATGCGGGTGTGAAATTTCGAATATTGAGAAATTGTACGTCATTTGGTTGTGTATATCTCTTGGCAATCTTAGGAGCAAATTGCGTTGAATTTATAAAGGAGCATGCATAAGCAAGTACAGTATACATGAATATAAAATAACAATATATAACTGGAAATGCAATTGATGTAAATAAATAGTTTCAAAGTACTAATGAATAGGGCTGAATTCACCGCAGTGCATCCCCATAATATTTATACAATACTTTATATATAGAAAAACAAATACCGTGTTATAATTCGCATTGAATTTCCGTGTACCATTGCTATTGAAGTTGACTGTGAACTCGCATACCATTCCGATATATATATATATTATTATTATATATATATATTCATATTTAATGTCCATAAAGCCGCAGCATTCATTCACAAGGGAATGATGAGAGGGTCGTGCGAAAAGGAAACTGCCATACCCAGTGATGTAAAGAAATATTTTATATTAAAGATCTTAATAATGAATCGTTGGCAAACCGCATTGTTATGCACAGCATGGCAATAATGCGAGACGAAAGGTATTGCCGGTGTTGTTATTTGTTGGTGAAAGACAAACTGAGTTCGGACTGATGAATTATGGCATCGGCTTATCGGCAGGAGCACCTCCACTGAAATTGGAAAAAACAACGGCAAGACCGCGGCGCTCAAAATTCGTAAATATTGTTAGCGTTTATTTAAGGCTGAAGTTCTCTTCCTTTTGGTCGATTAATTGGGTGTGCAAAATATAAATGAAAGAAAACTTAATTTTGTTAATAATATTTTGAGCTTATTATGTACAACTAACAAACGGTTTCCGAAAATGCTGATGGTGGGAATAAGTGGTTGATGTATACGAGAATTGTTACTTTGCCAATATTTTGTTTCAAGCCAATATTTTGGCAGCGTGGGTGTAGGATGGGGCTTCTCTAAAAACTTTTATGGTGCAAAAGCAAGACACCATACCATTTTTTCAGTTTGTTGATATACATACATACTGTATTTGATTCAATATATAGTCTGCTTATTTACAACTAAGGCCGAAGGTAAGAGAATATTCAAAGAGTGTTTATTTATATTTTATTTACTATTCCTCGTCTAAATTGTGAGTCCTGGTCCAAACCAACATATAAATAAGTGAAAGCACAAATCCGAGTTCCGCTAACGATTGCAATAACAAAATGTGAGTTTACATCACTAATGCTCGCCTGAATAGTTCATTTCTAGTTGATCAAGTTCTCAATGGCATCGATTTACTTGGTGACACCCTAACACTTTCGCCTTTCAATCCTATTACTGTAAGCGTTCGAAACAGCGTGGTCTCAGCCGCCCAAGCACCACAGCAGCCACACACATATCCACAGCAACTCGTGAGTGAAGGGTGGGAGCACATATGTAACACGCTTGATTTAGCTACGCTAACGATGCCCAAGGCGCAACTTCTACGGAAGTGTGAAGCCTTCCGCAGAAATGGCACGCAAATGCTAGTGGTTTAAATGTGCAAACAGAAAGTAAAATTTTATAAAAATCTGAGATATTATTTTTATTCACCGCCGTGTATTTAATCAGCGACAATCTTTTCGTCTTTGCGGAAGTTCTCTGCTTTAAATGCATTTTTACTACATTTAGCTTTTCCACACTCCATGGCTTTATTACCAAAATGTAACTTATGTAACGAACTTGAATTATTTAATTATTATAAACCAATCATGAATTTTTACAATATGGTAACACGTACTCCACTGACGAGAATAAACATTTATTAACGAAAGAAAATCTTAGATATACAAGTACCTAAAGATGTAAGTGTATAATTGAATTTAAAATGAGAACTCAAAAAGGGCTAACAACACTAGCTGACTAGATTTACCACTCTGTCTCTGTTGTCGTCAACACACTGTTGCAATGACTGCAATTGTTGTGCCACATGCCACGTGTTTCAAAATTAATAGATTCGCTTCTATTGGCAACAGAAAATAAAATTACATGAATTCATTTGCTTACTTAGTTAGCTGTTTTGTTACATTCAGCCTTTGGCGCCTGTCAAAGGCAGCCATGATACAGCTTGTTGGCAACATGAGTTCTCTATGTTGCTGCGCACTTGCAGCTGCAGGTGATGAGAGCTTAAAGGCGTTTTTCAGTTAGTTTTTCTTCTCTCTAACTCCACTGACAGTAGAATCTAACCTTAAACGATGCATTTGAGACATCTACATTCCATGTATAATTACTTTTATGTTAATTAATTGAAGTTATCACGATCTTAATTGATGTATCATTGTTTACTTTATGTTAGAAGATCTGAATGATGTCTCTACGGTTCTAAATTTGCATTTGCACAGTTTCATTTAAGGCGTTGTTTCCGCTTAAGATTGTTCATTACATTTTTGATTTGTTAAGCCGTAACGGAGTGTAAATATTTTCACAAAAAACGAATTTTTTTGGGAAGCCATCATTCTGCAATTCTATTTTATTTTTCTTAATTATATTTTAAATAAAATTTCTTTTCAAAAAAATTCACAAAAAGTGGGTTTTTTGCAACTTGCAAGTGAATTAAATGCGATAGATTTAGATGATTAATCTATACGATAAATATAAATAGAAAAATTAAAAGTTTGTGCTAAATAGAAATTCTGTTAGTTTAAATAACTGTATAGTTATATAATGCTTGCCAATAGAATATTTTTATATATATATGAGATATTTTTACTAAAATTATACTATTTATTTTCAGTTTATTTACCTTTGCAAAAATTCTTTCACCGATCGCTTCGAAAAAGCAATTCAAAACGAGACTGAAAAAGTGCCACAAAGTTAAACTGCGGCAACAGCACACCTTCCAAAGTCAAGCCATAAAACAACAACAAAAGCATTACAATAAAAATTGAACGAATTGTGTCGAAGCTGGAAAACGAATTTAGTTCGCGAAAATGTTTCTGGCAATAAATCAAATGAATGGGCAAGCAGCCAAAAGACGCAAAAAGGAGAACAAAAGGCGCGCGGCGGCTGCAGTTGTTACTAAAGTTGCTGACAACGGGGCAGAGGCTATACACGGTGGCAATGTAACAATGCCGAAAGGTGGAATACAAGCGGAAGCAGAGATGAAAGCAGCGGCGACAATACCAGCAACACAACCGGCACCGCTATCGTCAGTTGATGCAACAGCATCGACCGCTAGCTCAACGTCCAGTTCGACGGCCAATCTCATTGACGATATGTTGCTCGATTTTGTAGCCAACAACACGACAATAACTGCCACAGCTGAGAAAACCAAAATTGCAACAAAGCTCGCGGCAGAGGAATTGCAATCGACGGCGAAATGTAAAAAATGCCAACACGCGCTTTTAAATGTTGAATGCCGCCAGCTACATTCGAAGGCCTCCACGCTTTCAACGTCCCACTCTGGCTGCTGCTGTGAATGCGATTGTGTGAATAAAAGTGTATACAGTTCTGCAATGGCGACAGCACCTACCTTCACACCCAAGTTTAACCCGCGCACGCCTTCAACGTCAACGCTACATGCGCCGCCACCCACTTCATTGTATGCGGTGTATATGTGCCTAGGCACGCTCGCTCTGGCCGTGGCCACTCTGTCGGTGCTCTTCTACTCGCATCTGCACTCCGTCGGCAGCAATAATAGTGCGAGAATCAATAGCAAAATGCCAATGGCGATGACGCCGACAGACACGAATTTAAATTTGGTTGTGTTCCGCGAGCAATTTCAACGTGAATTGCTCGCATCGGAGCATGTACTGCGTGGCATAGTGTCGCAAGTACTGGACCAGCGAGAGGGAAAACAAAAAGAGCAGGCAACAAGAGGACACAATGTCGCATACGGTGCAGCTGAGCCGATCCATAGCTACCAGCAACGGTAAGTAGTGAACTGGAACACCACAGAATTTAACGCTCACTGCTGCCCTGGTGAGTTTATTCTGCAGGCGATGATTAATTGCATTTGCCACACTCAACAAACGCCTACTTAGCGCAGTTCGCCAGCTGTGGTGTTTGAGGCTTCTGTCGGGTAGTTCGTGGGAGATATTTGAGCGTGACTAATTTGATTTTTACTCATGACAGGTGCTGCACCAATGGTGACGTTGGTTGTCTTTGGGGCTATTAATGGCTTATTAAAATGCTATCAATATAGTGGGTGGCAAATGGAAAATTAATGCTGGTAAAAAGCAGCAAAACAATTTATACCTTTCCTTCGAGCCTTACCAGAACCCATTGTAAGAATCATTTAGAGTGACGTCAGTTCAAAGCTTAATATTACAAATATAAAAAAATAGCCATCAGAAAAGTAAATTCCACTGGACTTCTGGTCCAGAAGTGGACTAGTTTGAAAAATCGATTTATTTTCGGCATATCGCTAATGTAGACATATATAGAAACATGCCTTATGTTCACTTTTTAGCATTTATATTTAAATGCGTTTTACCAAAAGTACTAGGAGACCCCGACCACGCTTTGCTGTGGCTAAGGTATAATTAAGTTATATTGAGTAAACTGTTTAATTTAGTAAAATGTTATTATCAAAATTAATTTCGGCATTTTTTGCAGTCTATATAGCTCAATTACTGAGTTTATGATTATGGTTTTACTGATTTAAGTAATTATTTTGTGCGTCTGGGAACATACGGCCAAATTATTAATTTTGTCGGTGTACAATAGTGCTGAAATTGTCTGGCAGTTTAAAAACGTTTCGTATTTTATGTACTGTGTGAAGCGTTTCTCTCCTCGCTTCCATAAAGTGTGGGCAAAAAATAATTAAAGTTCTTTTCAAAATGTTTTGAATCCAAGTTAGTTAAGAGCACCACTTTCTGTATTTATTTACTCTTAATAGTATTTCTGCGATTTTCAAAAACTTTGAAATGAGTTTTTTATTTATAAATTAATTATTCAATAAGTGAACCTAGCTAAATAGTCTTTGTATTGTTATAATGTGCCATATATTAATTGTGCTATTAATATATTATCTAATATGCCGTGTCGTTAGTACCCTGCTCCCTTTCAGCTCCTTAGAAGAGAGTTTGAGGGGCGAGCGCTATCGCAATAACCTTAAAACTATTTGCATAGTATAAAATCCTCCACACATACATATATCTAAAAATAGCCGAAAGTGCGTGTTGTTCTTTGAGTATGCCAAGTTCAAGGTGACACCTCTCTCCCACATTTTATGGAATATGAATGACACAACATTCACCATGCATATACCACACACTGTGCCACACACAGCTAAAGCAGTGACGAGCGTCTCTAAATTCAACATTCTTGCCGGTGTTATTACTGGCGGCTATAGGCGAATTCTCGGTAGAAGCAAACGCTCATTTGGATTTAATTGAATATTTATGTCAGCAAATGTTTTTGAATAAATTTGTTGGAGTTCTAAATTAAATGCTTTGAAATGAAAGCAATTGCTGGAATGATAATTGAAAGAACAAGTAATTTTCAGCACACAGCTTATGGCGGAGGTTAATTAATGTGCTGAAAGTTGATGATAAAGGGATTTGATAAAACTTTTAAGCGACAGTTCAAAGCGTAGGACATACTGTGGGTGATATGCAAAAAAAAAAAAATCGAAAATGTAACTATTACAATATAAAATTAGATTATAGAAAATAGGATTTAGGTAAAATTAATATTAAAATCATATACTGAACTTTTCATGCATTCAAGTTGTTTGAAACCCTTAAAAATTTTGACCACTCTAGTGCTTTCGAAATCTTAATTGAATTCCTCTGCAAGTTTCCAAAACATTTAAGTTGTAATCGAACGAAATTGTTATCTTAATTTTCAAATGTCACTTTCTTATGCGCAGAATTTGTCACACCATTCGCAGCGGCGGCTATAACTGAACTACTGAAACTTCTAAAAAACGTTTTATATGCTTTTATGTAAAGTTATTTTATATAATTTTTTACTGTTTCCTTCTGCAGCGCGATTCGAGCGACGGCAGAAAAAAAGCCAGCAACGATGTTAGCTGACGATGGAACGCTGGTGAGAAATGAGCGCAAATATGTTGGACATGTCAGACACGTTGCAGACACCCTAACAGCCGCGAATGACGCAGAAACCGTTGCGGTGCAGGGAAGCGCGAGTCGCGTGGCAAGAAGAGTACGTCGTGATATTACTTCGGCGCCGGCTTCTATGCAATGTAAGTTTGCTAAAAGCGTGAAGAAAGTGTGTGCTTGATAGTTAGGCGCTCAAGAGAATCAAAGCGCTATGCAAATGAAAAATGTTATTTATTTATTTATTTTATTCACGCTTGCTCCACCTGCCGTTATTTATGGGTATTTTTCTTAGTGGAGCGTTATTTATTTAACAGCATTTTTTTGCGTGCTACTGTTTGTTTTTATTTTCTATTAAGAAAATTCAATGATGTCTAGAATATACTATCTAATTAACTTAAAAGTCATATAATAAGACTTACTGCAAAATCCGTGCTCTAAGCGTGAATACGTTGCAAGCGTGTAGCACCTTCTGCCTATGTAAGAGTTAATTTATGGTGGCAGTCAGAAATAATGTAATCTTCTCACTTTAATACTTATGCAAGTTACGTATACGCAATGTGGCACAAACCCTTCAACAATCCCAGTGGTGTAAAACACACCTCGAATCATTAAGTTTAAATGCATCTAAATATGAAACACATAATATTGCCAACTTAGTTTAATTTCGTTAAAGGTGTGTACTTTGAATTGTATGGCCGTGATGTATTAAACGTTTTTTTTATCGACACAGTTCCACAGTCACATTAGTAAGAAATCTTGAACATTTTATAGCGGCCACTAATTGAAATTTCTATCGCTCTTAAGCTTATGCATTACTCTATATTGACCTAACATTCTACCTATTTTATGAAAAATTAGCGTTAAGTTATTGTGCTAGAACTTAAACAAACTTATTATTTATACTCATACACTGTATTTATATGTATAGACGCTTAATCTCTATCTTAAACGCGTATTGTTTCAGAATATATTTCTCTGACTTTACTGCTTAATCAGCACGTGTGAAGGTATGCTATTTACTGCACTTTTACCTTTACCTTATCAGTTCGATTTTCTTCTACTTTATATACCCTTAAAGTAAACTGGTGAAATTTCCATTGCCAACAAATAGTTCAACGTGATTTCATGAAGGGAAAACTCATTAATCTTCTTGGCATCGAAATTATCCACTCAGCAATAATTCTGTGTCATCAAGTGCTTGATATATTCCATATTATCAGGCTGGAGCTGAGTTTCAGTTCGCAATTTTATTGCTGAGCTCTTTTTTGCTGCTTAATTTTCCCGATTTCGTGTCCATCCGGTGCTTTAGCACACACACTTTGGTACTTCGCTCTTTTGCCGCCGTGAGTCTGGTTTGATTCCTGTGCTTTTTTATTTACACCTTTTTTGCTTCCGGCATTTGTACTGAATACTGTAGCATCGCCTTTACTTGCTTTAAAGTCTCGTTGAGCTCACTTATTGTTTTGGTTATTTCTCTTTAGCTGATCCCTTTATCGAATTTTTCAACCCGGATCACCGCAAAGTGCTGGAAGAGCAGGATAAGGAAATACGCAAACGTACAGGACTGAAAGGAGCTGCGCCCGGCGGTGACGAGTGGATTTACTTAAATACCTACTGCCGAGTACCGGTAAGTGAGAATATCAACAGTTAAAAGGCGAATGTTTTAAATTTATTTACATGTTAAGCGATATTTGTAGATATGAAAATAATAGGTTTACTTTTCTCTTTCGTCAGGAAAAAATCATAACTGGTTTCTGCAAAGGTACCCAAGACTATTGTCCGCCTGCGCCTCAAGGTCCTCCGGGTCCAGTCGGTCCCAAAGGTACGACCGGATCACCAGGGCTGCCCGGAATTCCTGGACCCAAGGGCAATCGCGGCGATGTTGGTCTACCAGGTCCGAGGGGAGTCGATGGTGCGAATGGTCCGATTGGACCACGTGGACCGAAAGGTGATATTGGCATACCCGGTCGTGCCGGTCTCGATGGACGTGATGGTGTGCCGGGTGAGCCCGGTTTGGATGGTGTACCTGGGCGTGCTGGTGCCGACGGCATACCCGGTAAAGATGGCTTACCCGGCTTGGATGGTCGAGATGGACTAAATGGCAAGGACGGCAAAGATGGTGCAGCTGGACCGAAGGGAGCTCAGGGACCTCCAGGAGAGAGAGGATTGAAAGGTATCTTAGAAGAGAAAATACGTTTATTTTTTTTTGGTTTAGTCATATTTTTTTAGAAACATATGTTATGTATGTATTTTGATTTATGGTTAGTTGGAAAATATAGAAGTATCTTGCACCAGCTGCTAACCATCTTTTACTTATACTCTTTTGTTGCAAATAGGTGATTTTAACAAAATAGTAGACATTTACAACGCCATAACTTTAAGTGACTTGAAATAAAATTTCTCCTGAAATAATAAGACTTTCAAAGTACTTACATATATTTATATATGTACACGGTTGTTTGTACGATGTACATGCTCCATTAGCTGAAAATTTGCTTTGAATTGGCGAGTTTTCATTTCGAGCTTTCATTTCCATCTACGATTACCGTCTGCTTCGCTTATCATCCTGATTCAGTCACTACAGAAATAACAAAATCCATTGCTATTTCACAAGTATGCTCACGAAGTGAGTTCATCTTATGATTTAGCAACTTTTGCCCTACTTTAGTCGAGCATTTACCATACATATTCTCATACAAAGGAATAATGCGAGTATAAAAGGTATTGGCGCGAATCACATCACTCGCGCTAACACATTGACTTTAGTATTTTTCCGGTTACTAAAATTACTTTTTCCGTTATTTGTTTAAAATTATTGCTGGGTGTTGCATAGTTTTAGGGTACTTCAAATGAATATTCGAAGTGGCTACTTCCTTAAGGCGGAATTTGGGCACTTCCCCGTAGCTACTATTCTCATTTTGCCCTAATTTATTTTCTTTATATTTTTTGCCCTTGTTATTCATTTACATATATACCATATACTTGGTATATAGTGAATTTGATTATTTTTCCTTACTTTTTCCCTTATTTATGTTTATCCCTTTTATTTTCTCTTGCTGGCAGTTTCTGTTTGTGTTTGCATTTGTTTGTTTATTGTTTTGCACTTTCCTCGTTTTCGTCGTCTGCATCACTGATTTGTTGCAGTAAAAGTTTTGAAAACGTGGCGGTAACTTATTCAGTAATTTGAAGAAGTGTTGATGACTGCCAAAAATATGCTACATAAAAAGAATTGGCTGGGGTAGTGAATGCAAATTGTAATTTGAATTAAAGGATTGCTGACGCCTTTCATCACTTTATATTTGAATTTTGGAGTGCTTAATTTTTTTTTACTGAGTTTGCACTTTAGTTCCGTTGGTTTTTTTTGCATAGGAAATGTTATACGAAGATGGTTTAATTAACAGGGTGCCTAACGGGATGGTGCCGAAAACGTTTCCTTAACGTTGACTTCTTATACTGCATACAACTAAATTTATAGCAATAAGAGAGGATTAGGACCAGTCTAACAGCTTTGGCTTTGAGTACGATCGGTCTTCTTCTCAGATTTTCGATGAGTTTTGGAGTTAACACTTCACTCGAATATTTTATCAAAATATATTTCTATGCATTTATTAATTTTTTATAAAATTAATTTTTTTGATTTAACGCTTCAAGTACCAAATATTGCTCGTAAAATGTGTACAGGTGACTCTGTAATTTTGGAAAGTGAAATATCTAATAGTCAGTAGGTACTCTGTTGTCGTTTTGCGTTCTAGCGCTGAAATTATGTTCGTCCCTTAAGCTCGGCAAGCGCTGTTCAACAACCAGAACATGTGCAGCTGAGAGATCCTTTTGACCCAGACTTAAACGTAAGAGCTCTTGCCAAAGCTGTATGAATGAAAGCGAGGTGAGGGTCAGCTTGTCACTTTCTGCGCTATTGCCAAGTTTTTCCAGACTGCGAATGAAATATCTTGCTATATACATCTCCAACGAACCCAGTGAAGTGGCTGGGATTGATATTAACCGCCTTAACAAATTCGTGCTAGGCTCGAAACGCTTCGTCGATCTATATGAATTTGGTGATCCAATCTTAGAAGTTTTTGGGTATCACAAAGGGGCAACATTTACAGCTGCTCAAATGAAATCCATTGACAGGATCAACTCAACGACCTAACCAAACCTAAGCCAATTGTCTTGTGTTTTGCAAATAAAAAAAATTGAAAGGTTTTTTCAACTTCTTAATAAAAAATTAATTATTTATTTATGTATTCAGGTATTGCTGGGCCCCGCGGTCGACCAGGAAAATCTGGAAAAGATGGAACCCCAGGCATACCAGGAATTAATGCATGGAAAGTGCAGTTATTAAATGGCAGTTTCTCTAATGACTTACTCATCCCACCATCAATTGCGGGTAAATATTTGCGCAGATATTTTTATTATTCAACTCTTGTTGCAGTTGGAGACTCGCTTAAGTTTCTATATAAAGAAGGTACCAAACATACTTGTACTTTGGTTTTCATTCCATTTACAAGCATAATTATGAATAATCAAGTAACTAGCAGCTGAATATACATTATAACATTACTAATTAATTTTAAGCACAGTTTACTCAATTACATACAATAGATATTATCAGCAGATCTATTATTAATTTTACGCTCCATTATTCTTCACTTTCACACACACACATACTCACAAAATGAGTCATTACAATTACGTTGTCTTTGAGACTTCACTTTACAATTGTAACATTGCGGTCGTCGTAATTAGATATATATATTTTGTGCGAATTAATTAATCGCCGGAATGTTTTTGGTAAACAAGTCCACAATCTCTTTTAAGCTACTTAACTATCGAAAAAGTCCATGCAATATTAAATTATAAACTTCTGTTGTCATTGCAGACTTGAATGCGCCGCACATAGAACGCTTCGTAATCGTTGAGGAGGGCAAGACTTTGAATCTCAGCTGTGCGGCCAGCGGTAATCCGATGCCGCACATTGAATGGCGACGCGATGACGGACGTACAATTAATATTAACGGCGTCGAAAGTGAGTATAATCGAGTCTATAATAGCTTTTTTCATCGTGGAAATGCCCATTTTAATACAGGGATTTGCACGAAATTGCCGCTGGTGAACAGTTCAACTTATTATACACATATACTTACTCTATATATATGGTAGATATAATACTAGGCATGCTTTTATAATCAAAATGTTTCCATTACTAATTTCAGTGTCATCGGTTAGCGGGCCTTATTTGAAATTCACGAACATCACTCGACATCAAATGGCTGCCTACACATGCTATGCCGATAACGGTCTGGTGCCAGTCGCGAATGCTACCTTCCTCATTCAGGTTCACTGTAAGTACAGTTATAGGCGATAATCTAATTCTAGTATGAACTTATGGATGTTTCCAATTTTGAGAGCACTTTAGTGGCAGTATATGTTAGGTGACTTATATATACATATATATATTTTGTAATGCATTACAATTCAAGTTAAAATGTAGTTTTTACGAAACACATTACTGGCAATCAATTCGCATTTAAAATTTTATATTAATTAATTCAAGTTAATATGTTAAATATACCACAGGTGAGCATATTAAGCACAAAAAAGCCAAATACAAATTTTGTACTCATTTATTTATAGCGTTTGTTGTGAAAAAATCAATACTATTTATGCAGTGTACAACATGAAATAGAAATTAGGGTGTGTCGATTAGCAGCGAAAATTATTTATTCTTTTTTTTCTGGGTTCTGATTGAGAGTAAAGGCGGAGATTGAACGTTGCATCAATGAAGTTCAGCCACATTTATGTAAAATAGTTATCGCAAATTTCGAGGCCGTGGAGGCCATTTGCCCGATGTGTTTCTCCATAAATAATCTTTTTCAATAAAAAAAAAATTACGATCGAAAAACTAAAACTATGTTTTCTATTTAATTTCAACCTTGCGTTAATTTTTATAGTTTCTAATTAATTGTAATTAATTTAAGTATTGATAAAATATACTATGTGATCAAATTTGATCCGGAATATGACGTTGAAATTGTCCAACAATCTAGCGAGCGTCGTTCTAAAAATGAACCGAAACCGAAAAAACCAAAATTCGCTGAAGGCACTGAAGGCCACGCCAGCCGAAGATTACAATATACTAAATGTCTAGAAAATTAGATTAAACGTTGGCATGCTTGTTTTGGTTTAGGAGTCTTATTGGAAGGCGATATTTACGATTTACACAATACTTGTTTTTTTTTTTTTGTCAGACCCGGTCAAATTTGATCAGATGTAAGTTCGATAAATGGTATTAACTAAATGACCACCCTAACACATGTTCATAAAAAAATCTGAGAAAAATGAAATCTACGGAAAAAGTAGAACCGTTTGATTTTTTACTTTTAGCCATAGATTTCAACAGAAATATTTTTCATTTTTCTTGTATACTTTATACATAAACATATATGCTGTGTACGATTCTATTTGACTAAAATATAAATTCTCTCTTTTCTTTTTACACACTTTCCATTTATAGTTTCGCCAATGATTGCCGTGTACCGACAAATGATTTATGCTGAGTACGGACAGAGTGCAACGCTCGAATGCATGGTGAGTACGACAATTTAGAAAGATATTAACACTTTCTAGCGAACAAATATTTTTCCATAAATAAAATAAAATATGAGTGGTATGCTGTAAATTTGGGGTCAGTAACGGTAAAAAGAAAACTGAACAGAACAGAAAATTGCCCAGCTCTTAATTTTTCTTAAAAATACCAGAACGTTCGGAAGCTTTTTGAACCCGATCAGCTGACAAGCAACACAGAAATAGTTTTTTACTGTTGTACATTTTTCTTTAATTAATTTTTTTTATTGATTTGCAAATAAAGCTCATTTTTTCCTTGGGGACTCCCCCTATTGACACATTAATTCCTCTCTTTAAATGTTTTTAATTTTTTTTCATATTAGTACCTATAAGTTATGGATTAAATTCCACATTTGTAGTTTAAATTCACATTTAATTCCGCAACAAAATACCATAGATTGGTATTAATGTCGTTTCAATGTAATCTCTTAATTGTTATTTAATACAAGTTCAATTTGCATTTTATTCCACAATTACATCAAGCTATAAAAACCAGAAGGCAAAAAAAGGCCAGCTAATCTAACTTGTAATGCAATGAACAAAAAACTTTGCTAAATGAAAATACCGTTAAAATAAACAAGTGGAATAGTTCTACCAACAAAAACAAATATTAAATTATGCATTATTTACTTATCAACTAATATCTGTTGTCTAACCATACACATTTACGCCTGAACTATAAATTAATTCTGCAATTTTGGCGTAGTCCAACGCTAACTTGCAGTGCAAATATAAAAATGAATCGCGGTTGGCTACACCACATTAGCGCTACTTTTTTGCAACTGCAGCTATTGATTGCTATTTGATGAGTTTTTGCCGACGATCGTGCAATTGGGGTTATTATAAAATAATTGTGGTCGATTTTGTGGGAGTTGTGTGTTTTTCGTTTAATTTCATTGTTTGTTTATACTGTATTATTATATTGTACAATAGTATTGTCTTTTTACGTATTGAATTATGGTATTACTTTAACCAAAAAGGATATGGGTAGTTGTTTCTGGTGAAATATTGTATTTCATTGGGTTCCGATATTCCATCTGATCAAATTTGAGCCAGACTAACAAAATACCTACATTTTAACGTATTTTAATACAAATTTTCATTTTCGCCTTTAAGTATAACAACGCATAAAACACTTGTTACAGGCATCGACGGAGTTGGTATTCAGTGCCTTCTTAGAATTTTAGATTTTTCAGTTTGGACTCAGTTTTAGAGTGGTATTCGCTAGATTGTTGGACAGCTTCGACCCCATATGCATAAATCCACGTCTACTCATCAGTAATTATGTGTTTGATGTATGTAGGCGCCTCAGCTTCGAGTTGAGTTGTTGAGATCCTCTGCCATCTCTCTTATGTCAACACGATGATTTTAAAGCATTGTTTCTTTAATTTTTTCGATGTTATTGTTATTAGAGGGGAATGAACGACCCGCATGAGGCAAGTCGCTGAATACTTTGTTCCACTCAAATACTTGTGTTCGTAATAAAGTAGACCTCCACAACTCTTCTCTAATATTTTTAACGATTCCATTGTCGTAATTCTATTGGAAACACGAATTTCAAGTTAACTCAAAAAATCAAAAAAAATTTTTTTAGACTTTAAATTAACCTAATTTTTTTTTAAGTGAGTTCACTAATCCTAATTTGCCCTTCGTTATACAAATGTCTTACATTACTTTCGCATCATGTGAGTGTGATATTTCACGTAATTGAGATTGAAAATGTGCACAATTCCCCATCCTAAATCACATAAAATGTTTGTGAAAGAAGAACGAAAGCTCACAAAAAATAAGCAAACGCATGTCTGCACTTTGCTAAGTGATGCAGCCAATTTACCAGCACGCTTAACAAGAAAGGTTAATAGCCGTAATGACAGCATCAACATAGCAACAGCGTCAACAAGCCTTACAAAAACGTGTAGAAAAAGTGACAACTTGAGCAAGCATAAAAACAAATTGACAAAGGTAAAATTAAGACAGAAATAATTTCGTAGCCGACAACTCACATTCCAAACCAGAGTGTTAGGGACAATGAAAATGGTGCAACAAGATAATGGTTACGACACATAAATCTACATGGAGTGTTTCACATATATAAGTTTATATATGTCTCTGCGAATTTTAATGTAAGACTCTAGATAACCTGCAACTTCGGTGCTCATACGTAAGGTTATTTCACCCAAATAGATGGTTTGCTGTAAGCAGGAAAATCGATACTTATCTACTCTCTCTTTGAGACTATAAAACTTTGTCAATGAAAAGCCACTTCATCCAAAACATTCGTCAGAAAATTAGTCAGATGACTCTACTACACCTGAAGAAATTTTAATTAATCGTGACAATGAAAAATGTTTTGTTATTGCTTTACTGTCTTAACATTGTCGCAACCACTTCAGACACCCGCAATTCAACTGGTGGTCGCCTACAGCAAAGCGTGCAAGAAACACACACCGTTGATTATGTCTCGAAGACTCTTTGTTGTCGCGCTCAACTCGTGGATTACTCGCACTTTCAACATTGCATTTTTGTAGAGGCCTATACGATTCCTGAGCTCAGCTTTTCCTTCAATTCTCTGTTTGTCTAATTCTCTGTCACTTGGAGGGCTTATGCTTTCGTCTGTGCATTTTTATGTCTCGGCATGTTCGGTTGGTTGGTCGGTGGTGTCCCATAACCAGCGTTGGTGTCAGTTTTATATTTATTACAAGAAATAAAATTAATTGTGCAGTAAAGTACTCCCTTGGAATTTGTTTTATGTTTTGCTTGACGTGAAAGCAAGCAATGCTTAAAACTGTAAATGATTCTCATAGTCATCTGAGACAAGTGTTCATTTGTTGCTATGACGGAGAAATCTTAATTAGTCACATATGTGGCAAGGGCTTTGCATCTACACCTTTCTGTAAGAATTTGTGTATGTCACATGTTATCCGAAATTTTGATGATGTTCCCTTTTTAAGTTAAAAAAAATTAAAGCTATTCGTTTGCACAGATTATTTTGCCAACAGTTGGGAAAATGGGTATCTTCAAAGTATAAATATAATTGTTTTCATACGATTTTTTTTTTTTTGATTTGGGTAAAGAGATTTTTGTGTTACAGGTAGAAGCGTTCCCTGAGGCAATCAAGTATTGGGAGCGTGCTTACGATGGAAAAACTCTGGATCCGGGCGATAAATACCAGATCGAAACATACACTGACAGGTACGCACTGTTACACATATAAAATGTATGGAAAGTTGTGAAGCGAAATGATCAAATATTTATTTAACCATTTAGCTTTAAGACAACGATGCGTTTGACCATCACGAATTTGCGGAAAGACGACTTCGGCTACTACTACTGTGTGGCGCGTAATGAAATGAATGCAACTATGGTCAACTTTGAAATTGCGCGTAAGTGTGCTAACCAGATTTATGCCCGCATAAAAGGCGGGAAGAGTTGGCTGTAAACATTGTGTGGCTTTTATTTTCAGCGCAAGATCCCAACAGCGAGATACCATATGTAGGAAAGGAAATTAAATTCTACGGCCAGCGGCCACCGGAAAGTGAATGTCCCATGTGTGAGCAATGTCCAGATCCAAGGTAAGTTTGCTGACTAACAAGATTGCAAAAAAGCATAAGCAAAAACAACAACAACAAATCCGAAAGCAAGCTAAGTGCACGAGAAGTGAATGGCGTTGAATGTTATAGTCACCGTTGAATATCACATACGCTTTGTTTGCTTTGTTGTAGTCGAAAGGGTTTTATGGCATTTTTTCGCTTTGCCGTTTCTGTTTCGCGCTTGTAGTTGCAACTTCAAATTTACTTACTTTCAAATGTATGTGTGTTAGTTGAGCAACCAAGTACGCTTCCGCCTTTTTTAATTAAAAATCACAATTTATCGCTTTTCATTCCCTCAAAGAGCGTAGAAAAGTGAGCTGGTAAATGGTGTCATTTACCGTTATATCCGCGCATTTCTATCGCCACGCTCAGATGGCTAATCGCATACAAGCTTATACACGTATGTATGTGGACATATATATTTTTTTCTTTTTTACATATCTATTATAGTTGATGATAGGTTTGTCATTTATATATGAGTATGTGTGTGTGAACATGACTTTTTTGTATCACATGCCACTGCTTCATTACTTTCTAGCCATTTTGTTGCTAGATCGTGCTATCTGTGAAGAATATAATTAAAATTTATGCAGGTCCATTTGGTTCAACTATTTCTTTTGCCGCCGGTGATGGTCATCACACATACATACGCGCACCCGAGATAAACTAAAATTTACGATGGCTTTCATTTATTCCTCTGGAGTATAAACTAACCGCATTTACGTAACCACAAAAAAAGTTTAAACTTCGCCATTTTGCGCTTCAACCGTTATATTTTTACTTCGTACACCTGTTTTTGCTCACAGGAGTCATAACTTTGAGGTTACGCCCATGTGGTCGCTGAGCACTGCTCTTCCACTCGTAAATTCAATTTACCTTTACACACACAGATTTCCAACAAATTACCTTTCGTTTATATCATTTTGTTCTTCCTTTTGTTATTTGCTTTAATTGTCCACTTTCATTGGTTTCCATTCACGTTTTGCTTAATAAAAAATCCTCTTCCCCCCGCACCTACTTAAATCGGCTTATTGATGCCTCTGCGCACTTTTTTTCATCTACGAGTCCATTAAATATTCATAACTTCCGACTTATTTCGAGCAATTAATTTCATTCTTTTGACAGCCTGTACCAGTGTAAGGATTCTATAAATTCGAATTTCGAAATTCAAGCCACCGGAAATTATAGCTACCCTGGCCTGCCTAAGAGGCAAAAGAGTAAGTGCTAATTTTTAATTCTCAAATGTGAACTAAAAGCTGTTTATGTTTAAATGTGAAATTTCGCTGTCGATTTCTCATTCTCCCTCTTTCTCGTCCACATTAGGTTGGTTGTTGTACGCAGTTGGTAAACCAGTGTTCCATAAGTCAGTTAATGAGATGTACGGTTGCTGGTTAAAAGATCCAGTTAGTTCAGCGGACATTGACCATGAAAAAACCTACGTCACCGAAGAGAATGACACACATAACTTGTATGAATATCCCACGAAGTTGAAGTACCGCATGAATTTGTCGCCACGTCGGAAGTACAACATTCCAGAGGGTTTTCAAGTAAGTAATTTTTGTTCATTAGGTTTTTATACACCGAACAGATTAAATAAAGTTTGCCACGAAGTTTGTAATACACAGAAACGTCGGCGATGCTATAAAATATATATGTATGCGTGAAGAGCTGAGTCGATTTAACCATGTACGTCTGTATGTATATACGTGACTAGTTCCTCAGTTTTTGAGATATCGACCTAGAATTTTACACACGTTCTTTTTACCCCAAGAAGCTGCTTATTCGTCGGAACTATGGCATATGGCTACCATACAAAATGAACAATCAAAATCAAGATCTTGTATGGAAAACCGATAAAATTCAATATAAAGATATTTTTCCCATCCACTTATCAAATTTTAAAATTTTAAAGCCCTTATGAATCTTTACAATATGTAAAAGCCTTAAAAAGCTAAATTTAACGAAAAGCAAAACCTTAACTGCCAACACAAAAAACCGTTTTTCAGAAAAGTTTTAATTCCTTAAATTTAATTCACACATCAGCGACTAGCCAGTGGCTAACTTGACGTATTCCTAGCGACAAATACATCCATACTAATACACATGTAAATTGGCTTTCGCATGCATGACCGTGTATGCTTGTGATTGCATAACTCGTTGTAAATGCATTGTCACGTCACTTGAACACAGCAAGAACTTTTTCTCGTAAAACTTTTTCGTTGAACAAATATTTTGTTTCTTTAACTGTGTAAATTTATGTATATGTGAGTGTGGTCGAGTGGTTACAAATATTTGCAGACACTTTGGTGTTGACGATATGGTTGAATGCTAACAACAAGCACTTTGTTGTATCAACAATCTCAGTGACAATCACAAGCAACATGAGTCCAAGCGATTCTTGATCTAACTAACTATACATGTACATAGATAGACAACTAGGAATGTATAGGAAAATGGAAATGAAAAAGTAAGAGATAAAAGTCTTTGAGTTAAACCTTAAACTTTACACACTTAAGGTGTTGTGTGATATGGGGCTAATTAGTCAGGACTTATCTCGCACATAACTCAAGTTTATTATTTGTAGAATAGAATTAAAGATTGATTAATGTATTGTACAAGAAAATTGTTGAAAATTGTTAATGAAAATCTTTATTGGCTTGTTTTCTTCCAATTGACCGAAGCTTGTTAAAAAATGATGCCTTCAAATGTGCTATTACTACATAAAAATAAATATTGGAGAGTTTTCAAACAACCACAACCAAAATATCTTCAAAGTTAAAGCTAAAATTTAAGAAAATTAAATCGAGTTGAGTATTCTTTCAACACTTTGTTAGAAAAACGGATTTAGTTTTGAGTAATTGATTAACATAAGTGCAGAAATACATTATTTTTCGAAATGTTGGAAATAATGTAATCTATCCTAATTTTTAAGTCTTTCTTTTGTATTTCATTTTCGTGTATAGGGCAATGCGCATGTCGTCTATAACGGGTCGTTCTACTACAATCAATTCAATACCGATCTGGTCGTTAAATTGGACTTGGCAACAATGAAGAAAATAAGTAAGTAAATTGCTGCCTATTGTTGTTATAGATAAAGTTATTTATGTATGATATTGTATATTTGTCAATATATATAATGTGTAATCAACCCAGTTTTAAGGGCCCTTAGCTAATAATCCTTCTTGCTTAAAAAAACTATATTGTTACATATTCCCGGAATACCGTCGTAGTCCATCCATTAACTATCAACCACTATAGCTATTTATCTATACATACAGTTCATTAAGAAACACTTTACACACTTAAATAAAAGTAAATCATATATATTTGTATAGTTTAAAAAAAGTTCTTTAATGAAAAACAATTTAACAATATGTATTTAGTTAATAATATCAATATTTGCACAAAGTACTAAACTTGTTTTTTATTCTAAATTTATGATTTATTATATAAACTTAAAGCAAATGTTATTATTTGGTGTGACCCCACTAAGCATTGACTACATGTTGTAGGCAGATTTTCATGGAATGCACCAACTTTGGTGGATCATATTCAAATGGGATCTTATGTCACTCTTCGAGTATGGCAGACTTTAGTGCTGTCCGATTTTTGGGCTCCTTTTTTGCCACTTTTTTCTTTAGCTAAACGCACACATTTCCGATGGTATTAAGATCAGAGCTGGGGTACGAATTACCTTGTCACATTCATAAAGAAGCCAAGTCCGTACCTGTAGCTTTTTATACTTTGGATCATTGTCTTGATAAAATTTTGAATGTTGGCTTTTGGTTGTTGTTAAATCCAAATATCATTGCACTTGTCTTCAAATTTGTAGCGGAAAATTTGGAGGTATTGTGCTTTCATAGTGTACTCTAAGCACACCAATTTTCCCACGGCTGGAGATACAGCCCTAAATCATTACTGATAGTTTTCCAAATTTTACTGTTGAAACGACGTTTCGTTTTTCAAGCGCAGTTAACGCCTTCCGCCATACTCTGCTTGGGCCATCGTTATTATACAGCATAATTTTGATTTCGACACAAAATATGCCGTTATTTCAATATTCTATTCTATTGAATAATTGATCATTGTTGCAGTGAATGTGAAGCGTTTTCTGCATTGATTAGAGAAAACAGTGTTTTTTCCAAGCAACTCTTGATGTGTGGTTATGTCTCAGTGTGACTTGGCGTACAGTCTCGTTACGACCACCTCCACCCTCCTCCGACCAAATTAAATTAAATTTAAAGTAAGCATATCAATAAGCAACGCAGAATGCCTATTATCAATGCTTTATTAATAATTATTAATATTAATTAAGGTTTTTGCTTAAAACTAGAGCAAAACACAATCGTTAAACTAAATGTGTAAAGAGTTTCTTGACAAATTGTATGTATTTCCTATATATTATAACCTATATATTATAACAATCATCGAGTATTTGTATTTGCGCATATTCATACGACACTTGCTTTTGTATGCATTTATTCATTTATCTTGTCCTTTCACTTTATTTGCTTGTTTGTATTGTCATTACAGTAACACCGTTGCCATATGCCGGCACTGCTGTTGGCAATCGACTTTATTCCACTGACCACAATTACATGGACTTCAACGTGGATGAGGTTGGTCTGTGGGTGATCTACAGCACTTACGACTCCAACAATACGCTGGTGGCCAAGGTGAGCTTTTGTTCACGCTTTCATATTCTAATATATTTACATATAAGTATTTACAACAACACATCCATCTGAATAATCCCAGCGAACATTTAGAATATATAAGATTAAGGAAGTACTACAAAAGGTACTATATATAGCCATATTTACGTCGATTTGAGGTTAAAGGTTTTTATGAAGTCGAAATTTTTCTTATTTTAAAAAATCAAAAGCCCTAGGCATTTAAAACAAAATTTGAATTTTAGTAGTTTTCAATATATAACTGTCAATTTAAAGTATTTGAAGTTGCCAGCATTGGTGATATTAGAATGAAAAATAAATTTTCTTAGCTTTGCTAACAGTCCAGACACTTTATGTCACTGTCTTCGTTCCCTTCGAGTTTACATATGTTATTTCTTGTCTGTAGTTTTTACTTCAAGGCGATTTTGTGACTTTATGGGTTATTCTTATATAATATGTACGAGTACTCTCATCTTTAATAGACCCTTATTTGCTGCCACATTTCCATAAACACACACACTTAGTGAAATTAATTTTGATTGTCACTTTTATTGCTGCGACACCACTTGAAACTCATGTGTACACACTCGTAGTATTCAGTGCTACGAAGAAAATTGAACTTCATTTTTGCTGCATTTGACCGTAACTGACAGGTGTGCAGTTAGCGTTGTGGCATGTTCTCTAGAACGGCGCGCTTCCTCAAGGTGACATATGCTTTTATTATCTGCTCCACTTGGAGTATGTGCTCAAGTATAAAGTATTTCTATGAAATGCCAGAAGCATGTCATAAACTATTTATATATAGTTTGTCGTGGTGCCATCTCCTATACACATTGACATTGCATCAGCCGTGGAATATGGAATTGTGCGACTTTGCGTATCATCATATACTTGCGTCATGTAAAAGTACTCCTGCTCTACTTTAGCAGGAGCTTCTTTCAGCTTGAGCATCTTTAGCTTGAGCTTCTATTATCCCTATTGAGCTTTTCATTTCAAGAGTCCAAGCTTCTCATGTATATGTAACTATGAAATAATAGCAAAGCATCATCCACCAGTTGTTTGCGCCTCTAATTGCACTGCATGAATTTGCCACATATAAGGCTCTTAGCCCTTGCAGTGTGCTACTTTCTTAGAATAACATTGCTTGTCCTTTCACACACGTTCTATTACTTGTTCGCTTATATGTTCGGAGAACTTTGCCTTGCTCTATAGTTTCTCTATACTTTAGCCATCATATTAGTCATTTGTGGCTAAAGGAAATAAGCTATAAAGTAACGTATGAATAAAGTAAGTGAAATTGTAGCTAAGAGCGTTAGTGTTGCGGACGAAGAGAACTGAAGTATGCCATTATGCACTCTAAAACATTCGGAAGGAAGTGCACTCAACAAGCCGGTGAATTTCATAATGGTAATCTTCTGCGCAATTTTCCATTTTCCTTAGAAAAATATAAACGGATGTACACATTTTTATAGAAAGTAAATAGAATAGTGCAAGACTTATGTGCGTATATAGGAGTATGAGATGAGGTCATACTAGCACTCATGCTTGTATTAACTAAGAGTATACCTCCTTATTATGGGAAGCAGTTCTAGGTGTATGAGAATTATAGTTTTTTTATAACCTACTCACTTTAAGGGTCATTTAAAATTAGTGCACTTTAGTTGGTCTACCCTTGACTTGAAGCAGAGTGAGAAATACGAGTGAAAGCGATATCGATAAATCGACAGCGGAGTTCTAAAAAATATATATAGTATAAAAAACTAAAAATATGAGGAAAGCTTAATTTAAGTCTAATTCTTTCTCAGAATCTGTTTTTTTTAATTTTTCAGCACAGTCAGTATTTTTACACAACACATCAGAAATTAATTTTAATTAATTTTCAATTAACGATTTAGAAACAAAAACAAAAAAAAATTGGTCCTATTACACTGTTTGACTATTATGCAGTGCAAAACCTGGTTAAGGGATTCAGAGATAGGTCCTTTTTTACCATAAAATATTATATTGTCCACAAAATATTCACATTTTTTTTAAGATTCCCAACAATATATAATATTTGTTTTCGTCTAATGTTAGCCCTGCCTTACTGCTCACCTGAATTAAAATTAATAATGATTTGTGTTTTTGTTCAATTTTATTTAGCTCGACGCTGACACCCTGAAGATGCAGTATAATTTCAACATCACTCTGGATCATCGCAAATTCGGTGAAATGTTCATCGTCTGTGGCCATTTGTATGCAATCGACTCGTGTACGGAAACAAATTCGCATATACGCTATGTCGTCGATTTGTATAATGGAAAATTGCTAAATGTCGACCTGCCGTTCTCGAATCCGTTCCGCAAGACAACCACTGTGGGATATAATCCACTCACTGTGGTAAGTATACACTGAAGCCACTGTCAGCTTGTTTGCCTCTGTTTATATGTGTATGTATGTATGTATATGTGAAATGTGGTTGACGTCCATACCAAACTTAATTAACGTGTGGAATAAAGTAGACCTTCGTAGTGGGTGATCTTTTGTGATGTTTACAAAAATATTTTGCATCGTATGGTGTTTTCAGGGTCGAATATTAAAGCAAGCATTTTGCTTGAAGACTAATAACGGTTTTGGTATTGGCATCAAAAATAATTTTCTTTCTCTTTCTCTTTCGCTTTCTCTCTTTCTCTCGCTTTTTGCTGTTCCTAAGTAAGTTTTTATCGAACTCTATATATTGGTGTTGGCACTTCTTACTTGAACCACAGTAGACAGTTAGATATTAGTAGGATTTTCGTAACGAGACCTTTTGATTTTACTCAACCTATAGGTCGACCCTGCTACTTGGTTAACTGTTGCCTTATTGTTAATACTACGTTAATAATCTCAAAGCAGCTATAACGATAAGTTCTTGTACCTAGTTGTCTACGAAGAGTATCTCAAACGTCTGGTAAACTATACCGTGTTTTGCTCGCCTACCCTATAAGTTTCCACTGCAGTATTGTTATTACGTTCTGGTATTTCATTATGAGCATGGATGTATCTGAATTTGTAATTCTTCACGCTGTAGCCAGCTGTACAGCGCCCACACCGCAACCGATATCGACGAAAGCTGCGTGCGTAAGTGTAATGCGAGATGGATGTGCTTAGCTCCTTGCAGATAATGCCATTGGTTTACCTGCTGGAATTTACCTTCGGACACTTAATGTTGTTGTGTTCCACTAATTATGGGGTCGGGTAGAGTGACACCGTAATTCGTAAGTGGATGAGTAAATGTCACGTCACGGCTGTGCTCTTGGTCATTATTACATCCCTTGGCGAGGCATTTCAAATGTGTTTGCTGTTGACATTGTGACATGTGCGACCATCGTGTGGTGTAAAGTTCAGTTGGTGAATCGAAGCAAACATTGTCGTTGGACGGTAGACTGTAGAATTTGTTATGACTTAAGATTAAGTGACATTTACACACGTTAATATTTTGTATATGTAAACGTATGACCTGCTAGAATAAAAGTTTGTGATATTTGCTTAGCTCAGCTGTTTATACCATATATAATACTTGTAGAATTATTATATAATTTCGTTCATATGAAAACTTTGGTAAGCATTTGCACATGTTTTCAACATCCCTTTTATACTAAATAAATGGTATTACTCAATGTTAAAGAAAACGTAATCTGACCGTTATGTTATATTTGAAAGTAATTTGCTACATCGCTATCGTCACTTTATTCTGACGCTTTTGCAAGGTTACGTATACGCACCGGTGCCCTTTGCATTTTTGAGAAAACTCTAGCAAAATGTCGACATCTAAGTAGCTAAAGCTAAAAGTATACGAATTTGGAATGGGACAGTAGTAATAACAGATGGAAGAATAATTTATCGTTCCACAAACATATGTATGTATCTGCTTCATTCGTGTGTGAGGAGGATAATCAAAGCAGCTTCATAAGTAAACATTCACTTCTTGGTTTGGCAACTGGCAAAGTTGTAAGCTTGTACGCTAAGCATAGTCTATCCTTTTGCAGCAACAGTTGTTTCTCTGCAGTGATGTTATTTGAGTATTTTTATATTTATCAGATGTTCATTTGTGATTGCAAAAGTTTGTAAATAAAGTTGTTTTACAAACTCACCGACACAGCTTAATTTAATTATGAATCTTTTGATGAGATAAAATATTTACCTTTTATTTACCTTGTAAAGTAAATAATTTTAAGCTATTACATAGCTTCTATCGCGAGCTTTGAGTGCGGAGACCAAATCAAGTAATTCCGTAACGGAAATAAACCTAACACGATCACAAAGTATGCGCAAAATGTTTGCATACTTGTAGGCGCATTTTCGCATATCTCAAACGAAATAAATCAATTGAAGAGCAGGGTGATTCAAAAATAATAATATTTAAAATACAATTTCTTTAATGGCAAATAAAAATCCTCCTTTTGGAACAGTATCTTGTTTAAATTGAACAATACAATTCAAATTATATACATATTTTAATCGGATTATCAATGGTAATAAATTTCCACATATATTGGCTAGAGATTTTAACATCAACTTCGCTGATAAAATCAGAGTGATTGACAATTTTTCTTTCGGTAAAAATGATTTTGAAAATTAATAATGATATAAAACAAACACAACAAAATAGGGGACCACCATTGGCGTGGTATTTTCGAGATATTTAGAGGATATCAAGTGTCAAACTTATGTTTCTTCTTTCAGTTAACATAAACCTATAGTTTCAATCATAAAATTCCTAAATAACCTACATGTATTGTAAGATAAATATATAGATAAAAATATTTTTAACAATATTAAATTCTCATTTATTCAATAAATGAAAAAAATTTGTTTTCTTATCGATCTCCACGCTTAAAAAGTGTAATTTGAATTAATATCACAAAAAAAAACTTGAATTAATATGAAAGAAAAAAAATAATGCATAAAAAATAAATAAATAACTATAATTGCATAAGCTGGTAAAAATGTTATGCAATAGCTTTACCGTAGTAGTCCCCGAGTGCCACACGTATTTTTTTTGACATGCTCATACATATAGACATATACTACTAAGTTTTGTGTATATTGGGATGAAAGCGAACTTGACTTTAAAATATACATAAGTACATACTTTGATCTACCCGTGAGAACTCAAAATTACAATAACTGCCACCTCATTTCCTATACATGTGAATAGTTCGGTCTATTTGATTAGGTAAATTTGATTGCTGTTAAATATTTAAACTGAAGCTACTTTATCTTCATCTCCAATAGCTATTAAACTTCATACATAAAAGCGCATATACTTGTAAGCTCATTTTTGTTTGCAAAATATTTCAGTTCATTTGAGAAAGCCAAAATTAATTTAATATGCCTGACATAAATTATATACATATGTTAAATTTATTTTATGAAATAAATTAGATATAAGAAAAGGGGCAAATAAAATGGAGATTATGAATAAGAGAAATATTTAAAAAGCTGAATATAGAAAACGTAGAGACTTGTTTTTGTTAAAGGAGAATTACAGAGTTAGACGCCAGCTATTTACATTCTACCTATTCATTGAACCGAACCTGTGTTACATAACCACGGTTTGGGTATACTGTTCACTTATTGAACTGAATCCACAAATTTACTACAGAACAAGCAATGTAATCAGTTAGAGACCAAGTGAAAGTCCTGTTGCTAATAAACCATCAAAAGTATCAACAGAAAAATAATAATAATCAATGTTTCCTACTTGTCAAATTAAATTTCAATCAATTGAGATTAAATGAGACATCAATTACGAAAAATCAGAGATAACTGTTGATGGCGAATCACTTTTAGCTCAAGCTTTAATCGGATTACTAAATGTTGCCTCAGCAATGTTCCTATGTTTATGATTTCATATACACATACACAAATATATAACAACACGCTAAATTACAATATAAAGTTAATGAAAATGATTTTAGTCACACAACCGATACTGTAAATATTTTCTTGCATGGTTTTTATACTCATACCACGGCGTAGTGTGTATCTACATATTATTACAGCGAATTGAGGGATAATTCATAATGGCTATAGAAAAAATTTCTTCCTTATCTTGAACGTATATATTTAGACATATGTTATCGACAATTCTACGTGTTAAAATTGTAAGCCAGTATTTATATACACTTTATATTTACATATAATTGCTTTAGTAGTAAAGGGTAAATAAGAATATTGACAATAAATTCAATTTCTCTTATGTTCCTGCGAAAAATTTGCCTCTTTTATGCATTCTCAATATTTTATTTGCCTTTTTGCTTTCTTCTGTAGTCACTGCATGCGAAAATATATTAGTCTACGAATTTTACAAATTCATTTAATTTTCTTCACTCGGCTCCTGCCTTCTTCAGCGACTCGGCAGTATGCAATTTGTGTGCAATTTATTCTCCGACTGAATATTACCTTCTTACACTTACGTGCTACAAATGAGTGTGTATGTAGCTACGTACGTTCTACTTGGTTGCAGTTGCAAGGAAGTAATTTCTTAGAGAATTTATTTACCGTGCAGCAAATGAAAGGCGAATTGATTTTCTTTGTCATGTAAAAATTACGTATACGACATGTTGTACACTTTGCTGCCTTTGTACTCATACATGTATATACACGTATATATGTAGGCACATGTAGGATGAGACTTTATATATTGAAGAGAAGTTTTTTTGCTCTTATTACAACAGGATTTTGCATTTCTGTGACAATTGCTGATTAAGAGAAAATGTTTCTGGTGTTGTTGATTTAATTTTCTTAAAATATATTCTACCTTGAGTTAATGCGTTGAAAGAGTGTCATTGAATTAGTATAGTCATAGTTTAATATAACTGTACATATAGTGATTTTAGCAAGCAAAAGGTTGGCACAAATTCATATTTAAATTTTTGTGGGAGGGTCATCGCTGAAGTCTTCGATTAGCTCCAACATTCAACGAACCTCAAACAAATGCTGCTAATAAACCTCCATTTGTAGAAAAGCATCTTAGTCTATTTCCAAAGGCTAGCTTAGTCAAGCCACTTGATACACATATATTATTTCTTCATTAGCTAGATATGTGAATGCGAATAAGTATTAGATAAATATTGAAAGAGTCTAAAATATACTAATTCTACTTTAATAGGAATCATATTTTACATAAGCTCTGAGTTCTTGCACCTTGCATGAAGTATTTTTATAGTAAATTTAAATTAAATTTAAAAAGAATAGTCTGGCATGTGATGACTGGAATTATTGTTATTTCTTGTAAATATATACAATTTCGATCTGTTTTATTTTGTAAATGCTCATAACATTGTATTAGCGTAATCTTAGGCTGAGTTATTTACAAAATTTAAGGAAGTTAATTACAAAATTATAGTAAGTTATTTATACCTTTTGTCTACTCTTCTGTATTTGCAGGAATTGTACTCCTGGGACAAAGGAAACGCACTCACATATCCCATTCGTTATCGCGAGCCTAGTCTCATCAGTGACCGTACATAAATAACGGAATGAGTGACATTCCATTCAACGGCGTGAACATGTAAAAATACAATCCAACGGAATAATAAATTATAGTAACACTCGTATATATATATAAATATCTATATGTATATATATACTTAAGCGGCGCAACTGACGGCTCCAAGGGATTTAAAATTGCCGCATTAATTATTAAGCATTAAAATGTGTAATTTGTAGGAGATAAATAAATAAAGAGCACTAGAGTATTTGTTTTGTATAACTAAAACTAATTGTAAGTTCTAAAATATGCAACAGTAGCGACTAATTCCTAAATGGAGCGGGATTAATTATTTAACATTCATGATGATTTAACTGTGCAAAGTTTATATGGAAAAGCTAGGAATGTGGAATTAGTAAATTGATTAAATAGCGAACGAGTAAAATAGAAAAATTAGCATTAATAATTAATAAGTAAATAATATTAAACTAAAAGTAAGTACATATATTGAGATACATACATATGTACATCTATGTACACATTGTGTGTGTGTGCTAAATCTGTATTTTTGTGTAATAAATCATTAGTGAAGGCAACCACAAAGAATTTATAATAAATTGTATAAAACGCATTTGAAAAATGTCGCATTCTCTTAATTGAAAAAGATGGTTGTTGGTGTAGTTGGTGGGTGCCGTGGCACATATGATGATCTGGCAATGAGGCAAGCGAGGTACTGTACACATTTTTGTGGTCTATGCTATTGATTTTTCTACACCCAACGACTGCATAAACAAACATGTGTGCTCAGTCATGTCAGTTGTGGCATAGTAAACAGTTTCAGCAAATTTTCATGCTTCAAAGCAATATTTTCTGACAATTTTCAAAATACTTTTGCGGTGTATTGCATATGTTCGCCGCCAATGCGCTAAATATTCAACGAAATAGCAAACGCGAGAGAGTAGGCGACAACAAATATGTTACAGTGTTTGTTTGTATTGCCGTGTGGTCAGAAGCGAATATTTGTACGCTGCCATAGGCTCAACAAAACCGTTCATCTGCTTTTGCTTTGCGGCACTAATATTATTTCTTTCTATTAATTTTGAAATTTCGCACGGAATTTCGTTTGTGTGATTTCGCTGGTTAGATGAAGGCATGCCATAATTAACGTTTGCTGAACTGGATTGCTTTTTTACAATTTGAAGACCGTTGCTTGCAAAGAAGCAGTTCACGGGTTTGTCATTTTATATAATTGATCCATTTAGTCCATTTAGTCTTGTACCTGTGTGCGTCTGTATATACGCATACCAAGGCTCCAGTTTATGAGATATTATTCTGAAATTTTGCACACTTCATTTTCTCACCAAGAAGCTGCTCATTTTTGGGAAACGCCGATATCGGACCATTAAAGGATATAGCTGTTATGCAAATTGACCGATCAAAGTCAAGTTCTCATATGGAAAACTTTTTTGTATTCAAAGTACCGCTACAATCTTAAAGAGAATTGTTTAGATCGAACCAGTATAGCATATAGGTGCAAAGCAAACTTATCAATCAAAATCAAGTAAAACATCTTTTTATATTCTTACATGCTATAAGAAATGTACCTGTGAAAGGTATTCAAGTTTCGTTGCCGCCGAAGTTAACGTTTTTTATTATTTGAATAAAATTCAGTTAGTACTAGTTAGTACTCTGGTATCGAACATAAATCAAGACGACGCTGCGGTGATGCGATAGGTAAACGGTAAGTAAGTTAAGAGCAGATTAATGAAAAGACAGTAAAAGTGAAGGAGAAGGAGAAGCGAACTGATTGGAGTAATAAATTCTGTAAGTTTTTTGAGTTCGATTATACAGATATATGTAGAGCTGGCTTAATTAATTCAGCAAAATATCTGCGACTGACCATAGAAATAAAAGTAAAAGTGCAAAAACTGCAGAGCTTTCATAACATCCATGTGTGAATGTCTCTGTACGTGCAATGAAGGTTCATTTGTGTTGCAGTATTATTTGTGGTTGTGCAAAAACATTTGGCTCTTCCGCTGCTGTTGTCTCTGCCGCTGGGGTTATGTTGGTGGCAGTTCAGTGGTGGCTGCGGTTGCTTCCGTGTCTACTTTAAGGCTTCCGCAGCTTCAACATTAAGCCCTGTTCACAGTTGGTTAGCATGTTGGCGTGCATGATTAAGAAACTTTTCGTAAGCCGTACTCAAACACAAACAACTGCAACGTCGTTCTGCCGTCATATTTCAGCGGAAGCATTTGAGCTTCAAGCTAGTTTCCGTAAATTATTAAAATTTGCTGTAGAGTTATGGAAGGTGGCGAGGCGAGGAGGTGAGCAGAGAAAATCTGCGTGCGTGTAAAACTTATATTTGAGAGCAACTTTTTTCAAATACTTGTTTGTGCCGCTTGAGGCAGCGTATAACGAGTTGGTGTTGTAAATATTATATATGGTGTTAAGGAGAGGCTAAATGTTATGTTAACATGTTTGTGTTTTTCTTTCGGAAGCTTTTGCTCATATTCTGGTTTCATGAGAATGCTAATCTATGCTTCGCAGAAACGCATGTTGACTTCTACTATTTGCGAAATAAATCCATGTACCATATGTGTTTTATGGGTATATAAGTCATATAGGTTTTCAGTTTGTAGTAATAAGTTCTAGTTTCCAATGTAGAATAATTTGCCTTGCTTCTTACTTGGTGTAATATAGTATGCCAATTTATATGTTCGAAAAATTTCATAAAAGTTCGTTTATTACATGTATTTGAAAAAATATAAAAAAGTTAACATTTTAATCTTGGCTTTCCAATTCAGAGTCAATTCTGGTATTATTAACGTTGGAAAACTATCAGAACCGCCTTTAAATTTTCTTAAATGAGTTGTAACTCGGTTTTCGGTGCCCATTTCTGAACTGTACTAATTTTTAATAGCTATGCTAGTTCTTTCAACATTTTTTAAAGATCTGAGTCAGATTATATATTTCTCTCAAGTGACAATTCTTTCAAAAAATTTGCGAGTAGTCTTTTTGATTTCTTTATATTATATATTTCAACATACATTTGTTAGGAAAAAACTGAAAAATAATTTTAAAAAATTACACATTTCTATTGTAGAATACACAAAAAAAAAGTTGGTTAATTAAAATTCCTAACTATTGTTCTTTGTACAATTTAATGGCAAATTGCCAAAATATATAAATAAAATATTAATAAAGAGCGTGCTTGTGACAGGGCAATTTGTATTTAATTAGTCAAAATTATTAAATTTCACAGCATGCTTTTGAATTGAAATGTCTCTATTTCATAATTGTGCTTCACTTTTTCAACAAAACGATTGTGCTGTCATAAATAACTATATTACCAAAAACAACAACATAGTATGTATGAAGCAGCTTTGTTGTCTCTACTGTGCACACCAATTATTGATACCAAAAAAGGAAACTGATATTTGCATTGTGCAAATATTTGCTTTTTGGAGTCAAACAACTAAAACTATGCGAACTTTTACCAAATTATGCGATTTTACACAATTTTATAATTTGGAATATATATGATTATATGCTTATGCAAAATTTAGCATAGTTTACTGAGCACTTGTATGCTGATTTACTGTTATTGGTATTAGAGATTACAAACAGTAAAATTTATATTTCCATGCAGCGATGCTATTTAGTTCGGGCATTGTACGAATAATATAAAGTATGGTGGAGCGAAAAATTTTTTTTCTTTGGGACAAAAAAAAGTTTTTTTAACATCCCACTCAATTTTAAAGTAAATTTCGAGTTAAAATTTTTATTTCGTCAAAATTTTCGATAAGTGTTTTAGAAGCTTTGGATAGTCTTTCTGGCCAATTAAAAGTTATCAACTTAGAAAAATTTATTGTGGTCATTATTGGAGTTTAGAAAACAGTCATAAACGACAACATGCTTTCCTTAAGTGTTAAAATAAAATTTGAGTCAAAAACCGCTACATTCGGTAATTTTTATATAAATGTAAGAAGTTTAAACCAAAAATAATTTTTTTGTCCACATGTCTAGATGTTAAAAAAAAAATTTTTTATTTCGCTCCACCCTAATATAAAGTGCTTGCTACTTAATTTATTAAATATTTTGCAAAGGATTAAATTTTTTACAATTTGAAGAGCACAAGTATATAATACAATAAGGTATTTCGAGTTATTATTATTATTTTTTTTGTCTTGCAATTATTATTTTTTGTTTTAATAACAGCTTAACAATATACATAGTTTTTCCTAGTATTATATTAAATTTGAGTAAACTCTTTTGCATAAGGAAGAAACATGGTGGTCTTTTGCATGAAAGTTTACATCTTCATGATAAAGAGTTCGAAAAGAGTCCTCTTTTAGAAGAATCCTTTTTTCTTGATGAAGCAATAAGTAAGAGCAATTTATCTCTAGATATAACTAAAAAACTATATATTATATACTAATACTACTATTAGAAAAATACAGAATTTGTCTATATATATTTTACTATTTGTATTTGTAGACAGCTGCCAACTGTACTTATTTGTTTTATGAAAAAAAATTAAAACGAATTCACCAACGAATAAACAAAGCAATTAAATCTGTGTTGCGTTGATTTGACAGCGTGAACAGACAAGCGTTGTTTAGTTTTTTGTGCTTCGTATTATTTACGATTTTGACTGCGTATGAAATTTAGCAACTGCAAATTTTTACAACCAATATTTGCTTTCATTTATCGCTTTAAATACTGCTACGTGCGAATTCTGACATTTAAACTGCCACTGTGCTGTTGGGTGAGCGATAAATCATGCGAATTTGACATTCTATGATACTTATGCTGGTTAAAAAAGAGTTCAGTAATATTAAGTAATAAGAAGACCGATCAAAATGTGCATGCAAATTATATGAAAAAGTTTATTAGCAAATAGTTAAATTAATAAAAACATGATTAATACATCGGGAATTTTTGATATGTTTCACTCTTGTTTAGCTGGTAGTTTAAAGGTATGTACATACATTTGAATAAGGTTAAAGTTTTCCAAATATTTGTGGTCGGTCGTGCTATTCAAAAATATGTCATACTAACTTTTGGAAAAGCAACAGCTGCAAATTTCTCAATATGGTTGCTGAATTTTTTTCATTTATGTAAACCCCAAATGGTGTGCCAAAACTTCAAAAACACGCAAACACATAAACATTCATTTATAAATAAGTATCCTTTCAACAATCATATACACATACGTATACATATGTGACCACATAAGAGAGCTGTACATACTGATTAACTAACAAAAGCGGAACTAAGCAAGAAGAAAAAAAGAAGTATATTTATTTGCGCTAATTGTTTGAAAATCGTAGTGCAAATAGGAAATAAGATACATTTTTGAAAAGCTGAAAAACGTCAATGGCATACTCGTATGAAGCAATTTGCTTTGTGGTCACAAAAGTATCTTTATTTCTAAAAGCAGCATAAGGCAGAGAAAATCTGACAAATACTCGTGGAGCTACCATAAAATTGTTTTTAATAATTGAGAAATAAGGATATGATTTCTACTAATCTCTTACGAGGACGACCTGGTTCATTATATTTTTAAGGCGCAATAATATCATTCAAAGTTCAATTCTGAATGAATCTGACTGAAAATGACTTTTTGTAATGACTTAA